CCCTGCAGTCAAGACCAAGAAGTAAGAGGGTGTGGGAAACAAGATTCACAAATAGAGAGGGCAAAGCCCTGAAGAATTTATAGGTATAGTCAAAAGGTACTACTCTGAGGATATTTAAAGGAACACAATATGCACTCGAACAATTTCATCTTATTGAAGTTGTTACACTGCCTTCAGTCCTAACCCATGTCCTACTCTTACCCATAAAGTATCATTTTAATAGTTTGAAGGCTTGGAAGCTTGACTTCAAGCCACGCCTTCAAGCCCTCTGCCAGGACTATTCCTTCTAGGACCGCATACCCAGGCATACCGTGACATCACCCGTGCATGCTCAGTGCCGTCAGGATCAGTCAGAGAATCATTGCATTATATTATTCTCTACGACAGGGACTCCCAATTAATTTTTCCAGTGAAACCCTTTGACATAGTGTATCTACATCGTGGAACCCCACCCCCGGAAGGGGCTGTGTGTGTGTGTGTGTGTGTGTGTGTATGCATGTATGTATGTGTCAAAGTGTGCATATCTGTGTTTGGGTCCATCAATGTGTGTATGTGCCAGTGTGTATGAATCTGACACACAGATACACACACACTGGTACATAGTGGCACACAGATAGACACACACGGACACAGATACACACAGTGTGTATCTATGTGTCAAAGTTTGTATAACTGTGTTTGAATGTTGAATGCTTGCTGTATAGGGAGAGGTATTGGCAGTAGAAAGAGGGAAGTACTCATACCATTGTACAGAACACTGGTGAGACCTCACTTGGAGTATTGTACGCAGTACTGGAGACAGAAGGATATAGATACTTTAGAGAGAGTTCAGAGAAGGGCTACTAAACTGGTTCATGGATTGCAGGATACAACTTACAATGAAAGGTTAAAAAGGGAACTTTACATGTATAGCTTGGAGGAAAGACAAGTCAGGGGGGGATATGATAGAAACATTTGAATACATAAAGGGAATCCACACAGTAAAGGAGCAGACTATAGTTAAAGAAAAACCACAACAAGAGGATAGTCTTAAATCAGAGGGGCAACGCTTTGAAACTAATATCAGGAAGTATTACTTTACTGAGAGGATAGTGGATGCATGGAATAGCCTTACAAGCTGAAGTGGTAGAGGTTAACACAGTAAAGGCGTTTAAGCATGCGTGGGATAGGCATAAGGCTATCGTAACTATAAGATAAGGCCAGGGACGAATGAAAGTATTTAGAAAATTGGGCAGACTTGATGGGCCGAATGGTTCTTATTTGCCGTCACATTCTATGTGCCGGTGTGGGTCAAGGTGTGTGTCTCGGTCTTTGTATGTGCCAGTTCGTGTTAAGGTGTGTATCTGTGTTTGTATGTGCCAGTGTGCATCTGTGTGTCAGTGTGCATCTGTGTGTATGTACACACCTTGACACAGATATACACACACTCAGATACACACACACTCAGATACACACAGTGATATATATAGAGAGATATATATATATATATAGATATATATAGAGAGATAGAGAGATATATATATATATATATAGATATAGATATATATACACACACACACACACACACACACACAGGCACATACAGATACCGGTACTCAGATACACACAGTGTCATATATACATTGACATACACAAACACACACACACAGATACAAACCTTAACAGATACATACACTGACACACATACTCTTTTACAGACACACATACAAACACATATACACTCTCACTGACAAACACAAAAGCACAAACTCCCAGACACACATACAATTTATTATTTTTATTTATTTTTGAAATTTTACTCCACTCAGCCTCCCTACCTTTAGGAGTGCTGGCATGGAGTCTCTATGTCCCTGTGGTCCAGTGAGACTGCTGGGCTGAGAGTGTGGTCCCAGGGGTCCAGTGGGGCTGCTGAGCGGCGAGGGAGCAGTGATCTCCCTGCTCAGCTCCCTCGCGCGCCTCTTAGTGATGCCGGAGCGACGTCATATTCCGGCTCCAGCATCACTGCTGTGCATGCGAGGGAGCTGAGCAGGGAGATCACTGCTCACTCGCCACCCGCGGCCATTTTGTTTTCAGAAATTTGGACGGAACACCAATTGGGAAGCTCTGCTCTACGGCAAAATAATAGTCGGATCATGGCAAGCGCCGCACACGCACCAAAATGACCTAATGCTCTTCTGTGAGGTGCATTGGAGTGGACAGTCATCCTAGAGGCACGCCTCAAGGATGATATTACAGAAGGAGCCGCCCACGGCAGCACCAAGGAAGAGTGTGCTGGAGAAAAGTTAAGTAAACAGATGCTACTTTTTAAAGTGCTCATTGGGGGGCCTATTACTAACTAGGGACATTAAAACGATAGCATTAGGAATACAAATATTTATTCTTAACAATACAATGTCTCTAAGTCATGTCCTCCACTGGAAGGGGCTCTAAACCAGAAATGAGCAAAACATACGGCAGGTTCAATTAATAACACAATAAAAAGCAATTTACTTTTCATAAGTATGTTAACTGGCTTGAAGAGAGATTCCCCCCGACCCTTGTTTTATTTTAAATCAAGGAAAGACGGTTTATTGTGCTTACCTATTTGAGATGTCACCAGAATACATTTTTTATATAACAGACTCTTAGCTCCCTGTCAATCATTGTCATAAGCTCTGTCATTTACACCTGGCAGTCAGAATACGGAAAGCATACTGAGAAGAGGACAAATTAAACTAGGTTTCCATTTATCCTCTTCATTTGCAATGGGTTACCATGGTTTTCGCCTTGCCTGAACTGGATTATGATGTCATTCGCTAAATCTTTAATGTAAATTTAAAAGAAATTAGGCATTTTCAATATTTTATTAAATTCCATAAATTCCAGGGAATATGGTCATTAGAGCAGCATCCTTTGGTGAATTATATTCCTATATTTTCACGATTTGATTTAAACTGAGTGAGGAAATGCTCTGTTGAGTAACATTTTGGAACATTTTGCCAAACACTGGGCAACTAATGGCCACTGGCATTCCTGTGATGTATAGCAACATGACACTTTGACCAGGCCACATAACTTACATAACAGTTTGCTATTTAATGAAACATGAGTAGCATCATTTATTCACCTAGTGGAGGAATGTGGATCTTTATTCTGGATAACCGTTTTCTATTTTTTTTTTTTAACCTGTAGTGTACCAACTCAGAAAGCATTTTGAAAACTGCCTTTCCAAGAACGAGCATCACTAGTCAACTATATGAACATTACAGACTACATACAATAAAATTGAATCACAAGTTTCAGACACAATGCTATTTGTAAGTAATATTGTACCTCAAACAAAAGTAAGGATTCTTCGATCGGTCGATCCCTCCATGGAGATGGTGGGGGATTGTGACCTTTAATTTCATCCACTTTTTGGTGACAAGCATATGCGTGACCCCTGGAAAAAAAGCAAGCAATACAATCTGTATCAATGAATTAACAATGGAACATTTCCTGTTAACCCTATATTACAGAGAAAATCCAGCACTGACTCAGAACCCTCACTCCATTCTAATGTCAGAAAATATTAAACGAGTCTTTATTTGGTCTTCACCTGGCCTCGAGCATCAAGTCCTAGTTTCACCCCATATAGAAAATTATTCAAATTGAACTTTAACGAAACATTAAAGTGTAATAATGTATTTATTTTTGACAAGCTTATGGAGCAGAGGCGAGTTACATATAACAGTTGACAGGAAATGCATGGCTCAATTAGGTGGTAGAATCTATTTTTAATATTTATTTCTTAGTGTTAAAGAACAAGACTTAGATGTACTGATATACAAAAGTAGTTGCAGAGCTTGCCTCTAATGTTCAAATCTAGAATTTATAAAACTTTTACATAAGCAGCTTAGCTCTTCACCATTTTAAATTCAAAACGTTATTTCATCTTTAAAAACAAAAAAAAACACAACCCCCATAGGGTTTCCCTATCAGGTAGGAAAGTGATGCAACATAAGCAGACTTATTTTAGGGCATTAGTAATCCTTTAACAACCTGAATTCCTACAGTCTCGTGTCTCCCCACAGGATCACATTTCCCACAACTTAGGCCCCTCTGTTCACCTCTTAATGAGTTCCACAGCCCAATCGTACAGCTGGCCAAAGTTATCCGAAGCGTGCGTCACTGCATAGGGCTTGTATCCTGTGACAGCAGATAAAGGAAAAATAGTTTCACAAAAATGTAACACCACGCGGAGTCCCTTCAGCCTTAATTTAGCACATGCCCATGGTTCCCCACCTCAAACATTACATCATTTTGTTCTCGGGCACCTTCTAACCTGACAAGTCATACGGACATGGTGATCGATGTATGGGTTTACTTTAAATGTCAATCTAAAGAAGATATGGCATTTAAGGCAAGGAAGAGTTCCTAATATCATCTACACAAAGGGTGACTAAGGATGTTTTTACTGCTGGACCTGATAGGGAAAAAATGCATCCTACCCCCAAATAAATGAGCACAGAATATATTTGACAGTACTTTACTAAGGAGTATACCATGGTTTGCTCTATATGGATAAGGGGAAGGGGCTTTAAGGGATGAAACCCCAAATAGAAAGAAAATAATGTAATTATCCATCCCTAGAGACCTTCAGTAGCAATAATGTATCTGCCCCCCATTTAAATACATCCCTTTTTATCTTTACTTATTTGCCCCATATTTAAATCTATTTCCCTTACTCTTTAAGCATGGATGTTGGAAAGATAAATTAATATTGATAATTGATATTCAGGAGAAAGAAAGGAGGAGAGTCAAGACACTTCACTCCTCCAGTGTTCTTTTAAGGAGCTTACCCCCAAATTACTGCTACTGTCAGCACATGACCTGCTGTGTATAATAATTTGTATTTGATCTTCCCGGCTTTGTACTTGAAAACCATCAGGAATAAACTGCGAAGAAGCATGCTACTATTTGCAGGCCATTGTAAAGAAGCCAACTCTAAATATAAACCTCTAACAAAAAAAACTTTAAAAAAATAGCCAACAATTGTAGTCATTGGTTTATTTTATAGCATGTGTGCAAGATGTGAAATTAAACAAAGCCAAGAATATGGATCTCTGCACATTGGAAATCTCACAGGTTTACTATGGCATCTCTTCTTGTCTCAGAAGTCACAGAAAAAGAAATCTGAGGGGTTTCAGAAATGCACACAAGAACAAAGTTAAAAAATAAATGAAATTTGTGGTTAAGGAGTCCGAAGGGTGCTTGGTAAAGGCTGGCTGAGAATGATGAGGGCTAAATTCAAATTATAGTAACAGTTGTGCTTATCTTAGCCTTTAACTACACAATAACATTAATTTTATCGCCATTAATCAATAGACTAAAATGTGAAAATCTACATTATCCAACATTAACTAAACATTCAAGTGTCACCATAGGAATAAGGGAAAACAAATGCTCTTCAATGCATTAAAGTCAATCCAGCAATTCCCCTATAAAGTAGATTTCAGGAGATCCATACATTCATAAAAGGTTAATCAGCATCATGAGTATTCTAATACTAGCTCTGGGACAAAATCATTTAATATCTTCTAAAGAGATCTTAAAGGCTATAGAGTTGCATCTTTTATCTGATTTCTAAAATAAAAACAATTAAAAATATCTCGGAGCTACATACCCAACCACTCTACCATGTCTTTAATGGCTGTAAAATACTTCTCCTCCTCCTTCTCTGGGTTTGTATCATCATATCGCAGGAAGCAGATCCCATTGTTTGCCTGTACAGATATATGCGGACATTGGTACAAAGCCTTAAAATGGAATATGACCATGCTGTAAGGAAATCCTAAAGCATGGTTCTATCTCTGAAACAGTGCATGTTCCTTGCATACCTCTAATAAGCACACTAGCATTAACTTGTTTATATTTAGAAGGTTTGGATGACAACCAGTCAAAAAACCTAACTTGTAATGAGATTCATTTTAACGGTTTTCTATTGCTTACTAATCTACACTGTTCATATAATATTGTAATGTTACTGTTAAAATATAGAAGATTGATTACCTGTCAAATTGAGGAATAGGTTGCAGCACTAGATTGTACAGTGCTTTATAAATAATAGTAAAAACTATACAAAGAAACTGAACAAATTCTTCACTTACCTTTGCATAACCAAAGTTGAAGTTGATCGCTTTAGCATGACCAATATGCAAGATCCCATTTGGTTCTGGAGGAAACCGAGTTCTGATCTAGAAATAAAAAAAGTTCTGTAATTGCCTGCAGGACATTTTGTGTTAGAATACCTCAAAATGTGTGGCAGACTCCACAGACAGCACTTCTGAAAGCATTTTAATGCATTTAAAGGGGAATACAAAGTTTGGGCCTTTGAACATCATATTTTCAATGTGCTTGTTAATTCTCTAGAATTTCATGCTTAGTGAGTAAACAAAAACAAAAGTACACAGTACAAAACTGTAAATAAGAAGCTATTAGAAACAAAATTCAGAAATGTATTTTATTTTTATTAATTTGTTACTGTGATCCACTCTTGCCTAGAAAATACTTGTGACGGGTATAAAGGTTGTGCAAGAAAACAATATTTTTTTTCATGCATCATAAACCACAATTTTGCAAACTAACCAGCTGTCTACACAAATGACTTGGCTCGGAATATTAATTTGCATTAAAAAAGCCTTAGAAGCAAGAAAAGCAGTATTGGTTGTCTAATTATAAATAGGGTAATTTCCAGACTACAGAAAAAGCCCTGAGAAATATTACTAGAACGTTCGTTACTTCTTAAGTCTCTATTCACACATGAAGGTTTGATTGTTGCTGTTGTAAAGGGAACATTACTAGTCATTAGGTCACCTCACCTGTCCCCCAGTGATCTCCAGATGTTTCTTCAGTAGATCCATGGTGTTTGGAGTAATGATGTATCCTTCTGTCTTGTAATTTTCACCTGTAGGCACGGTGCAGATACATTACTTAAAAGTAGACTAACTTTCTAAACAAAAGAGCAAATGTTCTGACCAGTCGACATTAAAATGAAAGTTGGAAAGAAATATCATTATAATAATGTTTTTAAGGTACTTGTTTTATGTGGACTAGCCAGGAAAATACAAACATGATGGCAATATAGTGGACTATAAAGCTGTTAGAATGACATGGACAATCCTTTGAATTGATACCAGGGCTTCCTCATTGTCAACAGGGGCCATATTTAGTGGCCTAAGATGGATGGGCTGTATGCAGCGCTCAAAGTGAGCACTGTACTGTGTGAGTTGGGATTAGTGTAGGGTAAAGGTTTAGGTTGTTTTAGAGTTAGAGCTCGTGAAAGATTAAGGCTAGGGTAGGTGTACTATTCGAGTTATGTATTGACTACCAAAAATTCAAGAAACAAAGCTTTAGGAGTGCAAACCTGTTTTCCAAACACTATAATCTCAATGTCCCAAATTGTTTAGGACCCCCTGGGAGGGGCAATGTTTAAAAAATAAATAAAAAAAATAAAAAAATAGAAATGAATTACCCACCCTTTATCCAGCGAATCTCCCTCAGCATTGCAGTCCTCTCATGATGCTATTTTGGAGGCGTGTCTTCAGGATGACGGTCCAATTCAGTGCTCCACATAGACATAGGTGCTTTAGCGACACGCTGCAATCTGCCAAGCATTCTCTTGTCATAGAAAAGCATTGTATGGAATGATTCTCTATGGCAAGCCGAAACGTGTGTGCGTGATGATGCAGTATACGTGTGTATGAGAGCTGGGAAGTAACAATCTTGTCTACCCTATGCAGAGGGCTTGGAATAATGTCTTTATACATGCTTCCTAGCCTTCTAACTATTAAAATAATTATTTGGGGGGAGAGCAATTAGAAGGAGATATGAATAAAGAAAGCCTTTTCTGTTCTTTACTAAACCTCCAACGCCCCCCCCTCAAAAAAAACGTGAAATTAAAACTATAGCGTTTGGAATACAAAGATGTATTTCCAATGCTATTTATATAGACTATATTTCTGTTGATCTATTAAAATTTGTAATATAAGAGGTTTTACTAATCTTTTTTCCAGCACCAAGACTTCCTTGGTACTGCTGCTGCTCTGCCACCCATCATTGTGGTGGTGTTGCAAAATTCAACAATCCTCATGGATGAACATTGGAGATGTAATATGCATGCACCCAATCACTCATGCTTTCCTATGAGCTGCATCTGGTCACTTGACTGACTTTCACTCTGTTGTTGCTCAGGAAGCACCTTTAGTGGGTGTCACTAGAAGTGTGTTTAACCCAGCAATGAAAACAAAGCAATTTCTACACAACTGTAATTTTTTTTACATTACAGGGTTACATTGACAGGGCAACTGCACCAAGACCACTTCACTGAGATATAGTGGTCTGGGTGACTTTTGTGGTTCTCTTAAAGCTGGAAAATTGCCTGCATCCTTAAGGGGCTAAAGAGAAACTACAGCAAAAATCATCGCAGTAACATACTTTTCTTTAAAGGAGAACTATAGTGCCAAAAAAAAAAAATAATAATTTTCCTGGCACTTTAGGGTTATTAGGTCCCTCCCCACCCTCAGTTCCCCTCTCCTGCTGGGCTCAAGGGGTTAAAACCCCTTCAGCCACTTACCTTAATCCAGCACCTTTGCGCTGGTGACCTCTCCTCCCCCTGCTGACGTCAGATCCCGAGTGGAGCCAGCCGCACACGCATTCAACCACCCATAGGAAAGCGTTACTCAATGCTTTCCTATGGGGATCTGAACTCGCGCTGTGAGAGTTCAGTGCGATTTTCACATTGAGAATTAAGGAAGCGGCCTCTAGTGGTTGTCAGGGAGACAGCAACTAGAGGCTGGATTAACCCTGAGTTTAAACATTGCAGTTTCTCTGAAACTGCTTTCTTTTCAGCTGCAGGGTTAAAACTAGGGGGACCTGGCACCCAGCCCACTTCATTGAGCTGAAGGGGTCTGGGTGCCTACAGTGGTCCTTTAAGGAAATTGAATTGCCATATCCGTAGCCAACACTTACCAGGTTTATGAAATTTCAGAGCCTCTCCCCTTAGCTGCTCCATTAAAGAAACAGATTCTAGTTTGACATCACCTAGACAAAGAGAAAAAAAAAAAGAAAAAGAAAAAAAAACGATAAAACATTGCAAATTACAGTGGGAAAGTTACTTATGAGGTATTTTTGCACATAAAACCATACATCCTGCTCTGGCTATTCAGAATGTACTAAAGATTTAATTTAGAAAGGACTTTACAAAAGGAAAAATAAATAAATAAAAATATATATATATATACACACACACACACATTTATATAGATTATATTTCTGTTAATTTCACCTAATCCTTGAAGAGTACGGACAATAAAATAAATTTTAAAGGTTAACACAAAAAATAGGAGTGGTTATTAAACACAATTGGGGTTATTTGTAAACTTTGTCACTTCTGAAAAGCAGTGCTAAGATTTAAAATAGAAGTCTACAATGAATTGTGCCCGTCTGTTCTACTGGTTTCCATGGTAATTGCTTATAAGACATTAGACCATTTTTTTTTCTATTACCCCCTATGAGTCAGAGATGGAGAGAGCATACAACTCACAGTGTGTGGGGTATTCAGAGAAGTGGTTTTAAACCAGGCAAGAAAGGTGAAGATAGTTAGATTTGGAAATCAGCGTCTTTAGACCAGATATATCACAATGCTAGCAACTGTAATCCCAGTCAACCTCCAGTGATCTAATATCACTTTCTCACACAAAAATGAATAATTTTGACTTTTACACAAATTACATAATGCAAGCAAGGACATATAACACAATGAGGTTTATTCCCTAAAGAGCAAGTTATAGTGACCTGAACAGATGATTCAGTAAGTTGTAGTTTAACAACTTAAGACCCCACAGTTGGACAGACCTGATTTATATAGTTAAATTGCACTCTGCTTGCTTGGATAATGCAAATGTGTAGTTTTTGTGTATCTAGAATTAAATGACATGCTTTGCTTTACCTTTATATGCAGATTTAATGTTCTGCCACTAGGTGGTGCATTTTAGCCAACACAATAATTCTTTTTATTTTTTGCTTATTTATACTTTTTTTTTTTTTTTATATATATATACAAAATTCCAGGAAAGTTAAGCCAATCTAAACTCCAGACTTCTAGGAATCTCCTGAGAGTTATGCGGATTCCGTCATCAGTTAGCCAAGCTGCAGAGACGTCTGCATGGGAACACATTGAAAACATACGCACACATATTACGTCTGATGCTATAGAAGTGAAGTCTGAATACTGATACAGTGCATTTTACCCCAAACTAGACTTTAAATTATGCATTACTTGAAGTGGTTTATTCTGCATGGAAACCTACAAACCACATATTTAAAAACAGAATATTTTATGACAGTCTGTCAAACTGTACAGCGTTGTAAAAAATATTCAGATCCAGTTAGAAGTCTGAATTGACAGGGGCATTATATACTTTACTGATCTCTGCATGTCGTTTCCTAGAGAGGCAGGATATGATACTACATATCTAATAACAAGCGCTTACTATCCATAGTAGTGAACGCTATCTTATTCAGCTCAGGTAGAGTAACGTCAACCACTCCGGTTATACCTCCACCTATACTTTTTCTAACCAACCATAAACTACTCTATGATATTCCTATGTTAGCCCAGTTTGTCTGTAGTAGCTAGGTGGAGTTCTACCTTTTGATTTAGCACTGTTGCTATCCTGATTTATTCCTGTGAACCGATCCTTCTCCAAATGCCATCATGTTTTCCCAGTCAATTCCTAAAGTATTGATTGGTCACAGTGTTTAGTCTATAATGCAAATGTATTTACTATCGTGCAAATGTATTAACCACCCTCCCCTCCCTTCCCCCCAACAAGTGAGGTTGTTATTCTGGGTAGCATTATTATTATTATACTGGTGTGCTTTATTTTGCATATATAATTTACAAATTTACACCTGATATATTTTTTTCAATCTTTTATCTTACCAGTAACCATGGCTAACTGGGAAGCAAAAAAATAAATAGAAAAATTATATTATTGAAATATAAATATATTTAAAAAAAAAAAAAACACCATACTTTATTTAGTGAAGATAAAATATAATACAGAGTACTACATCCATGCTGTTTTTGTAAATGTGAAGGACCACCTAAACCAAGAATGTCAAAGTCAAAGGAAAACACGGGACAAATAAACAAGGTTTAAGTTCATGTGGGCCACAAAAAAAAAACAAAACAAAACAAAAAAAAAAAAACACCCCACAACTTTAGTTTTCATAGAAACTTAAGTTCCTTTAGAAAAGTACAGTATAAAAAAGTTGCCTGACAAATTATGTTATCTTGTTGCTTTTTGTTCTTCACGTGTTCTTTACTTTGGCTGAGATCAAACTTGATGATCTCAGCCAATCCAATGCTTTCCAATGGAAAATCATTGTGAGGCTCCTGTGCATGTGTGGCAAAAAAAGTTGAGTGGCTAATCAGCATCTCCATGGTAAATGTTCAGCGCCTCCATGCAGACCCACTCCAAAAAAAACTGCCCACTCCCACTACTCCCCTCTCCCCCAAATACATTGCCCTGCCCCCAATACACAGACCCTCCCACCACTCTAATACACCACCAATCCCCTCCCCCAAATACATTGCCCTTCCCCATTTAATACGCCGCCCCTCCCACCACTCTAATACGCCGCCCTCCCCCAAATACAATGCCCTGCCCCCAATTACACACACCGCCCCTCCCACCACTCTGACACACCGCCCCTCCCACCACTCTGACACACCACCCTCCCACCACTCTGACACACCGCCCCTCCCACCACTCTGACACACCGCCCCTCCCACCACTCTGACACACTGCCCTTCCCTCCCCCAGGTTAATACATTGCCCTATCCCCAATTTAATACACTGGTTCCCTTCCCTTCCCCAAATTAATACAGTGCCTTCTCCTGCAAATAAATACACAGGCCCCTTCCCTCCTCCAAATTAATACACTGCCCCCCTTCCTCCCCAAAATTATACAGTGCCCCCTTTCCCCAATTTAACACACTACACAGGAAGGCCCCCCAAGCCTCTCTTCTGCAACCTTAAGATGAGCCGCCCATCCTCCAGTTCCGGCCCTGCTCTTCTCTGCTCAAGGGGGAGTGGCTGGCCTGCTCTGCAGACAGACAGACACTATGCGCTCTTGCGGCCGCGGGAGGGAAGACAAGAATCAGACAGGAAATATCTTTCCTGTCTTGCAGCTGGTCGCAGTCACAGCACAAAGTGGCCCCAGGGCAGGTGGGCCGCAAATATTATCAATGTGGGCCGCAAGTTTGACATGCTTGATCTAAACTGCACTACAACATTAAAGGGTACCTGTGCTAGCATGATTCCCTAAATATCTATCTTTGCAAAACAGTTTCCATTTTCACAGCAAGACTTGATTTAATACTAGCTTCTGCAAACGTATTTCCCTATCACAAGTCATGCCAGCTCATTTTACAAAAAATAAATAAAATAAAGTCAAGACTGTAACAGCTGACATATTAAGTTAACATTTCATTATGTCAAATAACCAACGATAACACTGTGATACTATATGCCCATATGCAGAGTCTCCCTCTTTTTGCATGACAAGTGCTAGAATTGGAAACACCGGCGAGATTAGTGCTGCAGAGTGCAGATCCAATTTGACTCATGCTGAAATCTTCAATAGTAACATGCACAGTAAGCAGCCATTCTAATGAGGAAACCCAACATGCTGGCAGACTGCAGCTCTTGTCCTAGATCACATATCATCTCTGGCCTGAGCGAGAGGACAGTGCAGAGAGCAGCGAGTGTTGGGAGGAGGAGGCATTTGTCAAACACTGCAATGTTGATTTGCTTATTTGACAAATACAAACTAAATCTAGCCTGTGTATGAGTTTTGTTCTTGAGTCCATCACACAGTTTCTTATAGAGCACAGAACTTAAACACTATATGTCAGAGCACTCTGTAGAATTCCGGATGTCTGAAAGTTTCTACAAAACATTTGAATTGCCCCTATGATATACTTTTCTACCACAGACCTCCTCCCACTGTGGCTTAGTCCTGTGGCCATCACTTCTGATGGCATACTTTCTGACAAACCACTGGGTACAATATACAAAGTGTCTGGATGTGTTATGTTTATTTGATGCACTGTATACAACTTAATCTTTCTATTGTATACTTTTAAAAAACTTTCAATTAATAAAACAAAAAACCCACAAAAATAAAATGGAAAACAGCTAAAATTATATGAGAGGTTAAAGGGACACTCCAGGCACCCAGATCACTTCTGCCCATTGGAGTGGTCTGGGTGCCAACTCCCACTACCCTTAACCCTGCAAGTGTAATTATTGCAGTTTTTTTTATAAACTGCAACAATTACCTTGCAGGGTTAACTCCACCTCTAGACAGCCACTAGAGGGCACTTCCTGGTTTATAGCACTTTTTTCAATGCTTTCCTATGGGGAGTGCTAATACGCATGCGCGCATTAGGTCTCCCCGGCCGGTGGACGGGATCAGTCTCTCCCACCGGCCGACGCAATGCAGAGGAGGAGCGGCGGGGAAGGAGGAAGCAGTGACGTGGGACATAGTCGCTGCCTCAGGTAAGTGACTCAAGGTGTTTTCACCCCTTCAGCAACCGGGGAGTGGGAGGTGACCTACAGTGCCAAGAAAATTGATTGTTTTCCTGGCACTGGAGTTTCCCTTTAACAGATCAAATACAGACTTTGGTATGACGGAGGAAAAAAAGTAAATCCATTCACCCAATTTCATCCAACGTCTAATTTTCAGAATTTTTTTTTTTTTTTTTTTTAACTACTTTCATAAATGCACTGAATAACTGAAGAATTACTCCCAAGAGTTTTCTTAAAAATTACAAATGTATATTCAGCCATTGTATTCTATAGTTTATGGGTGATTAGATTATAACATTTCCAGCTGATAGATCTTGCAAGCTAGCTGAAATTGCAACAGAATTAATCCTTTCGTGAAACAAAAAACAAACATCTAAACAAAGCTTATTCTATACTGGCCTTGGATTTCACTGGTTAATACTGGTACGTGAGTACTAGACTCAGGAATTGAAAAATTAAATATAATGAAGATTCAGATTGGCTAGACCTCCATGATGGAATGTATTGCATAGGATATTGACTGAACTTTTATCCCCTGCAATGTGAATTAACGGTAGACGCCAGGCCAGCCATTGAATCACGCCAGCAGCCAATTTGGTTTGTGCTAAGAGGCATTCTAGGTGCACTGAATACAAAGGTTTCTTTCCCAGAATTCTCTTCTATAAACGACTCACAGCTTGAAATAACACATGGAAAATGCACCCACAACAAGAGCTGAATACACTGCACTGAGTAGTCATCAGACCGACAGCTTCCAAAAACACATGAGCGTTTTAGAATCAATCTCCTAGTCTGACAGCCCGTCAAACCTGTACACAGGGCTTTTTTCCCCACCTCTCCTGGTCTTTTCCCATTTACTCCCCCATGCAGTACAATTAAAGAAGAGAACAATCATAGGCTTGTGCTCATCACAGAGAAGGGTTTCTTTCTGGGAGTCTTAGGTCTGAAAACCAAAACACTGTCTTTCTATTGCCAGACCCACCGACTACTATGCATGTCTCCGGTCTGGCTTTCACCTTTGTGTGCTACACTCGTGCATCAGATCCCCATGCAATACAGACATGTTAATGCTTTATTAAAAGCTAAGAAACAGGGCCAGACTGTAAGGCACTGCACAGCAAGCAAACATCATTGTATATGCTCAACATTTTTAACAAACAAGTCATATCACCCCAATCATCTCCAGGCAATGGGCTTAGAAGAACGTGCAAAGAATGTGGATATCCTTGCCAAATCCAATAGTGATTTATTGTCAGAAATTACCATAAATGTATGGTATGTTCACAATGCACTTTGTACCACCATACTGATTTCTATGAGCACTTAAAGGGACACTACAGTCACCCAGACCACTCTCTCATTGAAGTGGTCTGAGTGCAGTGTCCTAATCCCACTTAGTCCTGCAATTTAAATCATTGCAGTTTTTGAGATGCGCTGTGCATGCGCATTAGGCCTCTGTCGGATGACGTCACAGGAGGCAGAGCGGCAAAAGGAGATCAGCGCTGTAATTGGGTGGGGACTAGATGCCTCTATAGATTTGTATTCCTAACAGTATAGAATCCCTTTAACAGTTTACAATTGCAAGGCACTGTACTCTCCAAACACTAATCTCTGTACATAAACTCTGTGTAATGAATAAATGCCAAAAAAGGTGTAAATGATATGAACAGTTTAATTTTTTTCACAATCATTACAGAAAGACCATCGGAGTAGCATAATTTCAACAGTCTACAGAGTGTTTAAGAAAATGTAAGTAAACTGCGAACCGGACTGATAATAAACATCCAGGTGACACACTGAAACAGACCACCTGACTGAGTAATTGAACACGGTTAATCGAAAGAATGCAGAATACATATTGATTATACAGAGCCTAGTTAAAACCATTTAACATGCATACAAAAATGACTGACTCAGCAAAAAGGCAAGAATCTGAAATTATTACAAGCGAAAATGCATAGCACAAACTAACCAGGTTGGACACCACAGTTATCCCCATTACCTTACCTTCCTTTCTGTATACCAAGTTTAATGCAAATACATTCTTATAATCAAATGCGATTCCACATGTATGTTCAAAATTGTAAACCAAGCTAACGTATATGCAATTTTCACCCAACCCTCCCCATCTTTTTTTCTGTACCCTAAACGCAATTAAAATTGTCAAATTTAAAAAGAAAATGTAAGAAAACTGAACAATGTGGTTCTAAAACTAGTCCAGTTACATAGAGCTTAGAACAGTATCGGCTGTCTAGAGCAGGGTTATGTCACTATCTTTGAGCTGGGAAACCCAGGTTCGAATCCTGGTCAAGCCACCTCACCAGTGGGCAAGACACTTTATGGTATATATCCATCAACCTCAAATCCTCATAGATTGTAAGCCCATTTTTACCCTCTAAATATCTCCTTTTGATCATTGTAAAGCACTGCGGTATATATTGGCATTATAAAACTTTGAATCCTTCTACTAATAAGAAGATCCCCTCAGTCATTCCAATGTTAAAGCTTTTCTGTTTCAAAGAGAAAGTTAAAAGAAATTGCAAAATGTAGGCTAAAACAAACTATAAAACTCTCCAACTCTGCTATTGTCACAGCTCGTCCCTATTTTTGGCAGTTTATTTTACAACTTAAACTTCTTAATGAGTTCTGTATAAACTCTAAAGGAACTTCACCTTTAGGGCCAAACTACCCGAAATGAAAATTCTCTAACTCTGGGGTAAATGTAAGAGCTGGAAAAATAGCTTATATTTGCCATTCCGTTATCAATTCTCCACAATCCCAGAGCTTACACAAGTTATACCAAAATCAGTCAGGAAACTTAATCCGTTTACATTTTCTGCCCTATTCTGAATGTCTATTCTTTTTGTGGTAGAAGTTTGTGCCCAATATAGGAGAGTACTTGTCTAAAACTGTTAATGCAGGAGAAAGGCCTCATTGTTTCATATAATTATAGTATTCAAGGCCGTCAGTGCAGCTTGTTTAGATTAACATAACGTATACACTGCAGTTTTGTAACCACTGCAAACTTGCAAAGCAATGTGTCTCATCCCTCAGGCACTCATTGGGTTAGAGGAGACGAACTTAGAATTTAAGTTTGTCCTGAAATAACAGCCCTAAAATGCCAGACTGGGCACAAAACAAAATAAACAGATTTATTCCTCGCACTTAAAAGGTTAATCAGCGATTGTAAAATAAAGCATTTAAAATTTAAGGGCCAAAGAAGCTGAATTTAAAGCATTGCCGACTTGGAGAAAGTTTCCGTGTTGGCTATTCAGACTTTAGAGACACTGAACGTCAGTGCTGCACAACTCAGGAAGCACCTTTAGAGACCGTCCGAGTGCCTGTCACTAGAGGTGTCCCTAGGCAGCAAAGGTGTAGCTGTAGGTTAGTGAATTTTGTATTGCTGCACAAAAAAAATAAAATCTCACAGGAAAACATTCTAGGACCACATATTCTCCAGTAAAATCTGACATGGTGACTGCTGATCCACACTCATTTATAGAAACATAATTATTCAATAGAGCTTGGGGAAGTGAAACCTACAATTGACACAAGTGTGTCTTGCCTACAGTCAAGTATGGTGGTAAGTGTGTCATGGTCTGGACCTGCATGAGTGCTGCCGGCACAGGGAAGCTACAGTTCATTGAGGGAACCATGAATGCCATTATGTACTGTGACATACTGAAGCAGAGCATGATCCCCTCCCTTTGGAGACTGGGCCACAGGGCAGAATTCTAACATGATAACAACCCCAAACACACCTCCAAGACGACCACTGCCTTGCTAAAGAAGCTGAAGGTAAAGGTGATGGACTGGCCAAGCAGGTCTCCAAACCTAAACCCTATTGAGCATCTGTGGGGCATCAAACGGAAGGTGGGGGAGCGCAAGGTCTCTAACATCCACCAGCTCCGTGATGTCATCATGGAGGAATGGAAGAGGACTCCATTGGCAACCTGTTACATAGTTACATATAGTTACATAGCTGAAAAGAGACTTGCGTCTATCAAGTTCAGCCTTCCTCACAAATGTTGTTGCTGTTGATCCAAAAGGCGGCAAAAAACCTGGTCTGAAGCGCTTCCAATTTTGCCACAAATTAGGAAAAAAATTCCTTCTTGACCCCAAAATAGCAATCTGTATGCCTCATATATATTTGTATAGGACCATAGAATAACATTGGAAAAAGAAAAAAAGAAAGAAAAGAGGTACCCCTCATATCACTTATTTTGGTTTATTGTAAAAATAAATAAAACAAACAAAAACAAATTTAAAAAAAACAACAAAAAAAAACATACATAAAAATAGCTGCAAACTTCCTAGAAATATGATCTCACGTACCCCAGGGGTACAGACCAGCTCTGGCTTATTGAGATCATTAAATTGTCTAACAATTTTTTTTTTATTGATTTTATCTTTTGCAGACGAATGAGAGGCAGCCAGTGGGTAATTATTATTGCTGGTAGGTGGATCCATAAAAACGGAACCTCCATTTACCTTCTGCTATGAAGATCACATAACATGGGAGATCTTAGATTGGCTGAACATTTGGCCATTTCATTCGTGTAATTATTTCCTGTTTTTCTACCCCCCATTGTAAACTTATAGACATCTACAGAAAACAATGGGGCTACCAAAAGAAAGAAAATATGGCATAATCATTATCAAATATGATCCTTTTAAACTGCTGCAAGAGGGGTAAACCAATCCCTGTATAATAATCACAATGTATTCTGAAATTCAATGTCTTTACTGTGCATTTTAAAATACTACTCTGGAGTGTGTGTGTTAAAAAAAAAAAAAAAAAAAAAAATCATATTATTGCACTGGAATATATTTTATATGTTGTGGTGGCTCTGAGCCAATGGTTTAATGTTTGTCTTGGCAGGGTGACAGGTTTTGGCACTTCTAGAAACTTAAAAGTTTACATTTTAAGTCCTTTTTCAGTGGAAGTGGGCGTTGGTAGTCAGAGAAACGCAAAATAAAACAAGCACCCTTGACATGTGTTTCAATGCTAGAAAATCTGTCTGTGTAGGGAGATTAATAGAAGATTCCATTTTAAAAATTATCTCACAATAGTGACGTAAATAAAACTAATTTTATCAGGACACACCATACTGAATGTATATCTACAAAACGTGTGTTTGCCAAGAACCATTGCAGATGAGGGGAGTATGGTTTTATCACAGATGCGATACCTATATTTGAAGATTTGAACAATTAATATATTTATATATCATGTTCTACATTTACGAACAGGTATGTGGGTGTGTGTATATCTATCCATATATCTTTCTAAATCAATCCAGCACTCTGGGTCTTTAAACCAAATTATTGCTGCAAAATAGAATGACAATAGACAAATAAATACATACCACTCAGGTAAAGATACCTTAAAGTATCCCCTCTCCGTGCACATGTGCAGTGCCTCCCACTTTTGGGAATGTGCAAATCTACCAGGTGTGTTACCATAGTGACCATTCAGATGAGCAAGGACACACTGTCACAGTCACCATCAAAATAATCTATATTTGTGGCCATTGTCCTGCGCTCCTTTTTAAAATATATAAACAGTGCAAAAATTTGTTGTCCTTTGTACCAAAGAGCATCAGTCCAATCCAGTGCAAAAAGTAAAGCAAAAGTGACTACGTTTGTAGGATTATTTGATACAAAGTATTTCACTTAAAGTCCTGTTATATATTGGGAGGGATGAGACGTGACAATGTGAGAAGATGCAATATTGCAAATGCGTTTTAAACATGCTACTTTTAAGCCCAGAATCTTACTATGGTGAAACTGCTATCATTGGCGATAATATAATCAATGAAAAACTGCAATTGAATGGTGGCTACCGTTATTCTTATGAATAAAATCCATAAAAACAATAAATAAATATATTTTTAAAAATGCTAAGTGCTAAATAACCATAACGAAACTCTGTGTAAGAAATGAGAACATGCCAACAAACATTTCAGACTACATAAGAGTTATTAAAATAAATTATTCCACATGGGATATGTATCCCCTAAAATAAATGATTTTGCAACATAAATATATATAAAACCACTGAATTACAACAAACCAGGTTAAAGAAACAAAAATCCAATTTAGTTTTGGCTTATTTTCTCATTTATAGGACAGACTAATCCAATGGCCGTTCTCTTCAGCACAAAGGACAGCATATATTTTGAACGGTTTATATATTTTTAAATAGGAGTGCTCATCTAAGGGCACGAATATAGTTGATTTTGATGTGAACATGTCTGAATGCGTCCGTGCTCATGCAAATATTTGCCATGGTAACGTGTCTGGTAGACGCGTACGTTCACAGAAGTAGGAGGAAGTGCATGTATGCACCGATAGAGGAAACGCAAAGGTAGCGTCATCTGGGTGGTAAATAATGTTATGTCAATGAAACATTAATTGTAATATATACACACGAACACACACACACAAAAGTGAGTACACCCCTCACATTTTTGTAAATAATTTACTATATCTTTTCATGTGAAAAAACACTGAAGAAATTACATTCTGCTACAATATAAAGTAGTAAGTGTACAGCCTGCATAACAGTTTAAATTTGCTGTCCTCTCAAAATAATTCAACACAGCCATTAACCCCTTAAGGACCGAGGACGGTTCAGGACCGTCATCGGCATTTTTGGCTTGCCGACCGATGACGGTCCTGAACCGTCCTAACGGTCTGGGGGTACTTACCTGATCGCCGTCGTTCCCCCGGCGGCGATCAGTGTTCCTCCGGTTGTGGGGAGACTGCCTGCAGCCCAGACAGTCTCCCCACGGCATATTAGGACCCCTGTGGCCATGTGATCGCTTAACACAGCGATCACATGGTCACAATAGGTGTCCATGTGTCTGCCTGCAGGGGGACTGTCTGTGCTGACAGGCAGTCTCCCTGCTTGTGTAAAATCAGAAAAAAAAATAAAGTTAGTGTTAATTAAAAAAATAAAATAATTATATATGTGTATATATGATATATAGACATATATTATATCTATATAATATATGTCTATATATCATATATATATAATGTCATACTAAGTGTATTTTTATATTAATATGTACTTATATTAATATAAAAATACACTTATAATTAAATTACACACGTATATATATATAATATATAATAACTATATATATTGTATATATATATTATTATAAAATATAAATAATAAGTAATTTAAATTAAATAATTTTTTTTTTAAATAATAAAATATTTAAAAATTATATAGCTATATGAAATTTTATTCTAACTGTATTTTAAAATTAATATATATATTTATATCAAAATACACTTAGAATGAATTTGTATATATATCTATGTATATAAAAATAAATAAAAATAATAATATACATACGTCCATATACAAAATTACATAAATAATTATATAAATATACACGTAGACTTCAAATATATAAATATGCATATATATTTAAATTCTACGTGCGTATTTATGTAATATTTTTACATAATTCAGTAATTTTATTGATTGCAATTTGAGGGACCTGCCTGCCAACCCAGGCCGAAATTCCAGAGAATTTAATTTGCTAGCACTGTATTTTACCCTGTAACGTTCTACGACACCCTAAAACCTGTACATGGGGGGTACTGTTTTACTCGGGAGACTTCGCTGAACACAAATATTAGTGATTCACAACAGTAAAACATATCACAGCGATGATATTGTCAGTGAAAGTTACTTTTTTTGCATTTTTCACACACAAACAGCACTTTTACTGATGATATAATTGTTGTGATACGTTTTCCAGTTTTTAAACACTAATATTTGTGTTCAGCAATGTCTCCCGAGTAAAACAGTACCCCCCATGTACAGGTTTTATAGCATTTTTGAAAGTTACAAGGTCAAATATATGGGTCAAATATTTTTACATTGAAAATGGCCAGGTTGGTTACGTTGCCTTTGAGAGCGTATGGTAGCCCAGGAATGAGAATTACCCCCATGATGGCATACCATTTGCAAAAGAAGACAACCCAAGGTATTGCAAATGGGGTATGTCCAGTCTTTTTTTAGTAACCACTTGGTCACAAACACTGGCCAAAATTAGCGTTCAATTTAGTTTTTTTACTTTTTTCACACACAAACAAATATGAATGCTTACTTTGGCCAGTGTTTTCGACTAAGTGGCTACTAAAAAAGACTGGACATACCCCATATTGAATACCCTGGGTTGTCTACTTTAAAAAAAATATGTACATGTGGGGTGTTATTCAGAGATTTATGACAGATAATAGTGTTACAATGTCACTATTGATAAATTTTAAAAATGTATGTTTTGAAACCGCAATATCCTACTTGTACCTATAGCCCTATAACATGCAAAAAAAAGCAAAAAAGCACGTAAACACTAGGTATTTTTAAACTCAGGACAAAATTTTGAATCTATTTAGCAGTTTTTTTCATTCGCTTTTGTAGATGAGTAAAAGATTTTTCAAGTAAAAGTCAAAAAACATGTATTTTTTCAATTTTTCATCATTTTTTTTTATTTTTTTTAAATTAAAATACATGAGATTATATAAATAATGGTATGTAAAGAAAGCCCCTTTTGTCCTGAAAAAAACAATATATAATTTGTATGGGAACAATAAATGAGAAAGCGGAAAATTACAGCCAAACACAAACACCACAAAAGTGTAAAAATATTCCTGGTCGCAAATGTACAACATCGCAAAAACAGTCCAGTCCTTAAGGGGTTAATGTCTAAACCGTGGCAACAAAAGTGAGTACACTCATAAGTGGAAATGTCCAAATTGGGCCCAATTAGCCATTTCCCCTCCCTGGTGTCATGTGACTCGTTAGTGTTACAAGGTCTCAGGTGTGAATGGGGAGCAGGTGTGTTAAATTTGGTGTTATCGCTCTCACACTCTCTCATACTGGTCACTGGAAGTTCAACATGACACCTCATTGCAAAGAACTGTCTGAGAATCTGAAAAAGAATTGTTGCTCTACATAAAGATGGCCTAGGCTATAAGAATATTGCCAAGACCATGAAACTGAGCTGCAGCACGGTGGGCAAGACCATACAGAGGTTTCACAGGACAGGTACCACTCACAACAGGCCTTGCCATGGTCGACCAAAGAAGTTAAGTGCACGTGTTCAGCGTTATATCCAGAGGTGATCTTTGGGAAATAGACGTATGACTGCTGCCAGCATTACTGCAGAGGTTGAAGGGGTGGGAGGTCAGCCTGTCAGTTTGCTGAAGACAAGTAGACTAAGGACATGGATTACTGGAACCATGTTCTGTGGTCCGATGAGACCAAGAAAAACATATTTGGTTCACATGGTTTCAAACGTGAGTTACAGCAACCAGGTGAGGAGTACAAAGACAAGTGTGTCTTGCCTACAGTCAAGTATGGTGGTGAGTGTGTCATGGTCTGGACCTGCATGAGTGCTGCCGGCACTGGGGAGCTACAGTTCATTGAGGGAACCATGAATGCCATTATGTACTGTGACATACTGAAGCAGGGCATGATCCCCTCCCTTTGGAGACTGGGCCACAGGGCAGAATTCTAACATGATAACAACCCCAAACACACCTCCAAGACGACCACTGCCTTGCTAAAGAAGCTGAAGGTAAAGGTGATGGACTGGCCAAGCAGGTCTCCAAACCTAAACCCTATTGAGCATCTGTGGGGCATCAAACGGAAGGTGGGGGAGCGCAAGGTCTCTAACATCCACCAGCTCCGTGATGTCATCATGGAGGAGTGGAAGAGGACTCCATTGGCAACCTGTTACATAGTTACATACAGTTACATAGCTGAAAAGAGACTTGCGTCTATCAAGTTCAGCCTTCCTCACAAATGTTGTTGCTGTTGATCCAAAAGGCGGCAAAAAACCTGGTCTGAAGTGCTTCCAATTTTGCCACAAATTAGGAAAAAAATTCCTTCTTGATCCCAAAATAGCAGTCAGATGTCTCCTTGGATCAAGCAGCTATTACCCCACTTATTAGAAATTATATCCCTGTATGTTATGTTTTTGTAAGTATTTATCCAATTTCAGTTTAAACATCTGTATGGAGAATTCCATATCCTTATTGTTCTTACTGTAAAAAAACCTTTTCTTTGCCTTAGATGAAATCTCCTTTCTTCCAGCCTAAATGTGTGACCTTGTGTCCTATGTATAGCCCTGTTTATGAATAGATTTCCAGATAAAGGTTTGTACTGGCCCCGAATATATTTGTATAAAGTTATCATATCCCCTCTCAGGCGCCGTTTTTCCAAACTAAACAGATTTAATTTTTTTTAACCTTTCTTCATAACTAAAATGCTCCATTCCTTTTATCAATTTTGTAGCTGGTCTCTTGACCCTCTCCAGTGCCATGATATCCTTCTTTAGAACAGGCGCCCAAAATTGCACAGCATATTCAAGGTGTGGTCTTACCAGCGATTTATAAAGAGGCAAAATTATATTTTCATCCCGAGAATTTATGCCCCTATTTATACATGACAAAATCTTACTGGCCTGAACAACTGCAGATTGACATTGCATATTGCTGCCTAATTTGTTGTCTATAACAATTTCCAAATCCTTCTCATGTGTGGTTATCCCTAATTCATTACCATTTAGTGTGTAAGTTGCTTGTGCATTCTTAACCCCGAAGTGCATAACTTTGCATTTCTCTATGTTAAATTTCATCTGCCATTTTAGTGCCCAGTCCCCCAATCTATCCAAATCTCTCTGCAGCAAAGCAATATCCTGCTCACATTTTATTACTTTACAAAGTTTTGTGTCATCTGCAAACACTGATACGTGGCTTTCAATGCCTATTTCAAGATAGTTTATAAATATGTTAAATAGAAGTTGTCCCAAAACAGAACCCTGTTCTGCTCTGGTGATCTGGTGGTTAAGCTCTGGTGAACTCCATGCCCATGAGAGTTAAGGCAGTGCTGGAAAATAATGGTGGCCACACAAAATATTGACACTTTGGGCCCAATTAGGACATTTCCATTTAGGGGTGTTCCCACTTTTGTTGCCAACGGTTTAGACATTAAATGGCTGTGTGTTGAGGGGACAGCAAATAACACTTTTATACAGGATGTACACTTACTACTTTACATTGAAGCAGTGTCATTACTTCAGTGTTGTCACATGAAAAGCATAGTAAGATATTTACAAAAATGTGAGGGGTGTACTCACTTTTGTGAGTATATATATATATATATATATACATACATACACACACACACACACATACACACTGTATATACATACAGTGATGTTATTACTGCAACAGATTCTAGGTGGGCATATGCAAATTAGTTTAACAAAGAATCACATTTTGCCTCATTCCATTTTAAACATGGATTCCATGGAGTGTGTTTGCTGTGCCGTGACCCACTCATGGACAGCTGTTTCGTTGTTAATGCAACTCATCAGCATGAGGTAGGTTACTGGCTTGCTATTGAGGCTGGGCAGTACTTATGGAGCACAAACCAAGAAAGTTATTGTGGGGGGAAAATAAATTGTGATTGAAAACCCCTTCCATCTGAAGTCAGTGGATAGTCAATACATTGTTAGGCACAAATCTGTACACCAGAATAATTCTCAGCCAACCTGCACCTTTCACTTTCAGGCACATCTTCTGCTATTTATGACACCCCACTGCGCCCCTCACCCCCCTTTCCTCCTCCTCCCCTTCCCCTCCTCTCACAGTTGTTTTAAGCGTTAAACTCAGATTGATCAGTATTGCTTCAGACCTGAGGAAGAGAGAAAAACTCACATTGTCTTTTAAATATTATGTTCGTCCAATAAAAAAATCATTGCATACTGCAATACTCTGGTATTTTGGCATATATACATATACTTTATATGTAGATGGTGTTGTATAAGTATAATGCTACAATACTGCAAATAATATAGAGCCTTCATTAAAATAGTCTTTTTGCTTGCTTTCCCATTATTCACATTTAGTTAAAGGGTAGAGCTACACCTCACAAAGTTTTGGGGAGAGATGTATAAAACAGATAATTTTTTTAAATCCTTCTGAATAGACCAAGGCTTTTTAAATAGTAATCGTAAGGGTATTTCTTTTAAAATAGGTATACCAGTTAAACAAAAAGTATTTTTTTAAATTTTATTTTTTTTAAGAAAATAGAAGTTTCAGTTTCACGAAGTCTGACATTTATAATATATTCATTCCAAAACTGAGTTTTACGACAACTTGAGCTGTGTATAAAATAGGATAATAGAACCATTAAATGCATGTCCCTTTGGAAAAGTAGGCTGTGTGCTGCACTGCGTCTCTCTGTGCACAAGACATGGCTAGACAGAGCAGTGTGTGTCTTTCACCAACTCCACAGACCTGCAGCTTCTCAGAACTGATAGTGTTTGGGTTTGGCTGAGTCTTTCCAAGAAAGCTAACAGAGCGGCATAGAAAACAGACTCTGGGGCCGTGAGAGCCCTCCCCGATCATTCCCCTTAATTCAATCATCTCCTTTCTTGACGTTCCTAGAAAACGTGCAATGGATTGCAATACAAAGAAACTGACAGACTCCTTAGGCTCTTATCCAGCTGGGAATTAACGGATCAGCGTTGTTTTAAAAAGGGCAAATATCGCAAGCTGACTACTGTTGCCAGGGTGAATATTGCAAGCCACAGAAACAAGCAGGAAGAGTGAGACTTACAAGGGAATGTCTCTTGACAACAGTGGTAGGGGGTTTAACGCATAAAAAAATAAAAAATAAAAAAAAAGTTCACAATTTCAAACAAATCATTAGAAAATAATTAAAATGAGGTAATTCAGTGATTTCTGAACTCCTTAGCCATTGATATTTTAACACTTAAAAAAAAAAAAAAAAAAAAGCTTTACAAGCCCCATAACCACTATAGCCTGCTGGGTGGTGATTGTGCCATTCCACAGTAAGATGTCACAAATCGCTTTAGAATGACTTGACACTTACCGGGGTCCTGCTGGCACCATCACAGCATACATGCATCTCATTTTCGCCAGAAGGAGAAACAAGATTGCTCTAGAGAACCATGCAGGATCATATTAGACCATGCATAATGGCCGAGAGTGTCAGCTGAGCGCTCTCAGCTAGTGAGTGCAGCCTGTATTGGCCATGCTTTATTCTATAGTCATGTAGCTTCTCCTGGAGTAGATTGAATGTGGTGCGGGTGCCCTAAGTTGTCAAATCGTATTAAAACCGCTATGTGCTTGCAGTCTTCCTTTAAACACCAAATACATGACAAACATAACATTATGCTACCCAATTTTGTTTTATTTCATTAAACAGCTAGTTGTGGTTGCTTAAGAAAAGACATGAGTAATTATTCAGGACAAAACCAGTATTGCTGGTTAAAAACTCCAATTCAGTAGTGTTGGCATGTCTTTCTCCCAATTGCTTCCATTTTGTCCAAAGTTGTACAAATCTGTTCTTACAGCTTAAGAGAAGAGACCCCACGGTGTTCTTTTATATATCTAGGTCACTGGCTATGAGATATAAACAACAAATATAGCAGTTGCTGCGAAAGCAAACACATCATTGTACTTATACTATGTTTAGTGAGCAGTCGTGCCCTAGGCATTGTGTGATGCTGTGCCAAGCATTATGGTACTGCAAGGATGCACAGGCAACTAAAAACAGACACTGGATGCAAATTTTGGGCAAGGGTGATTCTTTACATCTGCTGACATTCACGAGCATATAAAATAAATGTCATTTTATATTTGTTTGCCTTAACCCCTTAAGGACACATGACATGTGTGACATGTCATGATTCCCTTTTATTACAGAAGTTTGGTCCTTAAGGGGTTAATCAGACCTCATTGCCTGAGCAACATCAATATTATACATGTGTAGAGAAGGCCCCTTTACAGGTTACCTTGATTACAGAAGACAGGACATTGTTTTCTAATCATTATTCCCCATAAAGCACAGTGCTGGTGAATAAGCATGATGTATAAAAAGCATGAAAGACAGTGGTGCCAATTTGCTGCATTATGTCCCACTAGAGCAAATCCTTTGATAGGGGGTGCTCTAGCAACAACATGAAAATTGTCTCTATACTGGAATTTGCATATCCTCCCAGTAAGAGATGCCTGATTTAACTTAAGAGGAAGAGAGAGTCTTCCGGCTTAAACCTCTAATATTGATTTTAAGCAAAACATAGTATCTCACCTTAGACCACATTGGAGAATTCCCCAATCCCCCATATCAACTTAAATCAGACTGACACAATATGGTCAATAGGTTGCTTTATTTATTTTTTTTAAATGGCTCAGTGGTTAAAAATACCATGTTTGCATTTACATTATCGGATTCCTGTGCTTAGACCATAAGTCTCAATGAGATCATGACCTATAGCAGATGGGCTTCTCATTCAGTATCTGTTTACATTTAATCTGTTTTAGAAAAAGGTAAAAGAAAAGTGGCGCTACTCAAAACGATGGCCTGCATATTATGACTTGCCTCTCTCCACAGTGGCCTTCGGGTTGAGAAGCCCACCATGGCTGAATGTATGTCACAGAGTTGCATTTAGCTTAAAACAAATCTACTTTTACAGGTGCACAGAGTCTCAAAACCGGTCAGTGGGAGAATTTACCAGGCTCCAAAATATAGAGCATTACAAGTGTGGACCCCAGTTTCAGAAGGTATGACAATAAGTTGGTAGAACATATGCCCTTTCTCCTTACAATAGTTAAAATCCATGAAAGGTAGATTGGAAGATTTTAAAAAATATTTACAAAGTTGCTGAAAATCGAAAATGATCTCCTGTGCCATACATTGTTTATCCTCTTATGATTGGTGTATAATTTTTCGGGGTCCTTCAGCTGCAGTTAGGACTTCTTAACCGACCTAACTGGCATTTCTGTTATCTCATACTTTGGAAGTGTGCCTATATCAGACACATTTCTCCTTCTTGCCTCTAAAGAGATACTCCAAAGCTAGTCTCTTTGCTTAGGTTATGGTGCAAAGAGGTCCCTTATCTCAGTTTGTTGGCAAACAATCGCTTGTAACTGCAGAGATTTTCAAAAGATGTGAATGAGCCACAGCCTAAACGGCTAGGTTTAATGAACACAGAATGTGTTTCACAAACAGCTGTGTTTCCTTGGAAGTCTATTCAAGGCTTGACATAAATACAATAACTACTGTGCCAATAGAAGACAACATTGCATTAGATTGCAGTTAACATCTGCTCTTCTAAATTTGTACAATATGGGGATTATTCAATAAGACAGGAAATGATAAGAAATTGCAAAAGCCAAAGTAATCAAATTGGAAATGTTCTCCAAACCTTGATTGTATATTGTGGTCTAATGCTTATTTTCCCTCTATCAATTCTCACTTTATACAATATAGCATACAGCTTGTTTCTAGCATAAAGTCTTGCTGTCAACCACATCTGTATTTTAATAATAATAAAAGCACAAGGCACAGTTAGAAATGTTCACTTCAGTTACCGATAATGCCAAGTTTAAACATTTTCCCTCATATATTTAGATTTTCCCTAAGGCAGCGCCTGTCTGCAAAAATTATAAATAAATTTAAAAAAAATGTAAAACATAAAATGTGATTCAATAAAGAAATCTTATTTTCTTTGCAGGGAATACTTCCAGCTGGCAGAACACACCGTCTTAATGTCACCTTCTAGAACCTCATCAGACTCCTTGTAAAGCCACAGAGGGCCCCTTGAAAGTTGGGGCATCTTGTTCACAGCATGTTCTAATTACTAGGTAAACAATCCAGTTACCACGGGCAGAAGAAAGGAGGGAGGGACTGGAAACCGCCAGGGAACTGGGAATTTAACTTATAAAGTGCTGGGGATAGTAGCAAAACCTTAATCATATTCCGATTTTAACATGGGAACAAAGAGGTTAAAATAGCTGAAAGGTTACAAGTAAAAGCAGTAATTTGCTGCCAAACATTTCCTGGACAAAAACTAAAAACCAACCAAGTATTAGTGCAATTGTGAGATCACAAACCATTATTGTGTGTGAGGACACCTAAGCAGGCATTATGGACAGTAAAATTGTGGTGAGTTTATATTGGGGATGAAAATTCCAGCCAAAATAGAGGTTCGATATATTCTTCAATTCGGCTATAACGAATACATTTTTCCATGCCTGTCTATTCACAAAAAAACACACCTAATTCTTGTTCAGTGAATTTGCCTCATTAAAAGAATCCTCAGCCACTTTCGGTTCCCATGGGGAACCATAGGTTTACAGCAGCCAATCCTGGTCTTCCCATTGTACTCAATGAGTGCACTGTGCTTAGCAAAGACTTATAGTTAAGCCAAAATAAAGCATGCCTCTGCCTTAGATATGATGTAGTGTGAGTTGTAAATTGCTGTAACTATAAAGAGCATACTGAAAAAACAAAGAAAAGAGAGCTTCATGCAAGGAGCTAAGATAGTAATAGTAGCAGCATAGTGGAGAATCCCTTTACTGCATTTTGTGATTTATTCCACCTTTTTAAAAGCAAAGATAGAGAAGTAAAATTCAACTCTTATCCAACTAGACCATTTTAGTGTTTCTTCTAGCAGTTAAAGGGACACTAAAGTCACTTCTCAATGAAGTGGTTTGGATGCAGTGTCCTTGTCATTTTAACCCCACAATTTAAAACACTGCATTTTTTTTTTAAGAAGATGCAATGTTTCCATTACAGGGTTAAACACACCTAAGTGGCTGTCTTCCAAAGAGCCAATAAAGACACTTGCGCTGCACTGACCACGTAAAACTGTCATATAAAGTGGCAGTTTATAGGAAAACATTTAATGCTTTCATATGAGAAGCATTGGATGAGTGTGTGGCACTTGCCGGGCAGACGCATCTACACTACTATGATGCATTGGATTGGACCATCACCAAAGAAGGACATGCATTTTTGATGATGTCACAGTATGCAGAGCAGCGCCGAAGGAGTCTTGGAATTAGAAAAGGGTGAGTAAACAGTGTTTACAGGTTTGCATTCTTACCGCAATAGTGCTTTTTTATTATGAAACAAAAACAGTTAAAAATGTTTTTCCATTCGAGAAAAACGAGGGAAAAAAAAGCCAGAATTTTGATAAAGCAGCTTGCACTTGAAGTTTAAGACCTGATCCTATCTGCTTAAGCCCGAAAGCATCTCAATGTCAGATTCACTCTCAATGGATAAAGTGGATATTAGCTAGATCTCCTTTACTGATTAACAAGAGCAGCAACAACTGACAGTATGTCTCTTCTCTGCAACTATGACCCATCTAATGATATCTAAAATAACAGAAAAATAATCAACAGAAAAGGACTGTTGGGAGGTTAGTTACAAAACTTTTTCAGGACTATTTCAGATTTCTTGACGTGTATTTTTTTTTTTTACCCAGTCCCCCACTCAAGTCCTCTTCAGATTAATCTGGCCATTTTTGTTTGCGCATAAGTAAATTCACATCCACATATAGGGCTTTAAAAAGTTATATTTTTTTTGAAAAAATAAAATTAAAATAAATAAAATTAAAAAAAAAGACCCAGCTTTCTTTTGAGAATGGCAATAAAACAAACAAAAAAAACAAAAACACACAAATAATATACACATGCACACATTTAAAAGAACACATTTTCCTAATTTGACAAGTGTGGAATAACAAAACATACTGCATACAATTTAAGTAACCTGCTGTGTTCATTTTATAAGAGGACACTCCAAAATATAGCAACCTAATCTGTGCATATTTCCTTCCAGCAATGGATTATAACTCCAGATAATTGCTGCAGCTAGAAGCTACAATTACTCTTATCAAATATTCTTCCTCGTGCCTATTCAAGTATATGTGTGGGATTTGTGAAAAGTAGCTGAAGTTGAGACTAGCTTCACTGCCCAAAAAAAAATACAAGACACAAATAAAAAAATACTATCAATACAATAATTTAAATTATATGTGTTACCAGATTTTGACTACTTGCCGTGAGTAAGAAATGAAATATTTGAGCAACTTGTTTTGCAGGTTATCACAAACTAGGAGGTCATTACACCTGAGGCATCCTAGTTATGCAAACAGCCGAGAGTATCTTGAAATACAGTACCGTAAATGATTTGGGGGTTTAAACGGAGCAGGAAGCATAAAAAAGCCAAATCAAACCAAAAACTTACCACTGGTGATCACGTCAACTTTTTTTTCAGTTTCCGATGCTTTTTGCTTTGTAACCTAGAAATCCAAAACTACAGATATGTAATCAAGATAATCTGGTCTCTAATTATTAAAAAAATAAAAAAAAAATATATATATATAAAATAAATATAACTTTCCAAGCAAACATTTATGAAAAAGCAGCACTGTTACTTGCGGGGTCTCAGTTTTTTTTCCTTTCTTTGCAGTGACCTTGCATTGTGGTACCAGACAGTGAGAATGTGAGGGGTAGATACATTTAGCTAAACCTCTCCCCATCTTCCTCTATTCAGCTCCTGGAAGATGGAGCTAAAAAGAATGACATAATTTTTGCACTCTAGCTCATGTGGAGTGGTACAAAATAGGGAGTCTATGGTAAATCTCTTAAGATTATTTCCTCTGCAGAACAAATGCGCAACAAGAAACCACCGATTTTTACACTACGTTTCACAATAAGAAGAAATTTCTCATTAAACGTCACAGGGAAGGCAAGAGGAAGCTCATCACAGATCCTTGTGTGCCTAAACGTAATAGTCCTAAAATAGTTTGCAATAATGACTATTCGCCAGTGAAGTTCACAAATTGCCAGCAGATAATAGCTGTTGCTGTAACCTTGCAAGTTTAATAGGTATACTGTCAAGCGGTAATGGATACAAGGAAACTATAAACGTATGTGATTGTAGAAAGCGCTAGGGATAATGTATAAATTAAATAATTCAAAAGGAAAAAATGGTAGATAAATATAGGTAACCTAACCACCTATGACCATATGTAAATATAATAGACAGAAAAAAAAATCTCCCTTTACTATCTATTTGAAATGTATCAAAGTCATATGTCCATATTGTATAGCTGTAACACAGAATCGTTCCAAATACAAACAAAGATTGCTATTAAATAGTGTTTGCAGAATGGTCAATTTATCCACATTGCCGGGTCTTTTTTCCCCCCAGAAATCCCATTAGGTTCCAATATGAAAACAAGAGGACATTGGAGATGTGGTTAAAAAAAATCTCCTTTTATTCAAACAAAAAAATTAAACGTTTCCAGTGCATAAATAGTGACAAATACATCCTGGATATGCGTGAGAATAATCTTTGAACTCAGACCTTATTATTGACACAATATCTGCTCTGCTCACGGATTAGTCGAAGTCCGTTATGGACTGGATGATGGTGATGGGAGTCCGTTGATTCCTGTGGGCTGGATGCCGGGTAAGGTAGTCTTATTTCTAGTTTATCAGCTTCAGTGGCTTTTTCAATGGATATAAACCCCTTCAGTGACTTACCTGAATCCTGGGCTGATGGCCCTCGGCGCTGGGTCAGGCTCTGCCCACACTCCTCCTTGCCATTAGCAGTATTCTTCCTCCAGAGTACATTGGATTGGAGAAGTACATTTTCTTACCGTCAATTAACACACAATTTTACATTGCTGGCATCCGGGCTAAAGACAATTAGCCACGGCAATGCATTGTTTGGGAACTGCATTTCCTATGATTCTTAAAGCTAGCTAAGCATCATTGGTAATGCACCGAACAACCATCTACAAGCCCAGCATTGGCCAGAACCATCTGGACTTTAAGCACAATACATGCCAAATACCAGAAAATCCACAAGGTGGCAGCCTTATCAATGGTAGGATTAGATCTTGAAATTTTTAAGAAAGAAAGAAAAAAAATACACATATTAATACATAAAACCTATTAGCATCAAATTGTGTGAGTTTTCCATTTATCTGAATACATATCATCCTCTGTCTCCAATGTATGCCAGAATTACATAAGTTTGAGTGAAATCCCATCCCATGCACACATAAACATGCTCCAGGTCACCGAGTTCTGCAGGTTAAATGCAGCAAGAGTGTCCTTCATTCATGGCCATACAGATTCAAAAGAAGAAAAGGTCAATCACAACAACACTGTTCGTAAAGGTCACAAAGCATGCAAAACTACAATCCTAAAAGAAAAATAGAAAACACCTACCTTGGGTTTCTTTTCTAGATCCAATTCAGTCTTAGGACCAAGTAAGTGCAAAACCTGTAAAGTCAGGGGGTAGAAAAAATGTTTGCACCAAAGTCTTGAAAGATGCCAAATCCCAAATAAGCATTTCCCTCAAGGTGAGCAGTCAGCTGAAGAAGCAGTTTAAAAATAATTCTAAATGTAGAACGCATTCCACATGCCTTTCTAAACTGCTATCAATATTGCTCACTTATGCCAGGATGCACAGACCATATACCGTATATACTCGAGTATAAGCAGAGTTTTTCAGCACATTTTTTGAAAAAGCCCCACTCGGCTTATACTCGAGTCAGTGTCTATATTATGGCAACTTACATTGCCATAATACAGACCAGGACCGCCGGGCTCATTACAAGCCTGGCGGTCCTGTTGGGGGCCGGAGCAAGCTGTTACTTACCTTTACAGCAGCTCCGGTCATCTCCGTTCACCTCCCTGTGTAAATCTCGCAAGACCCGCAGCCGTCAGAGCACGGATTACCGTGGCAACGCTCCGCGCAGGACACAGACCGCAAGATTTACACAGGGAGCTGAACGGTGGAGGTGAACGGAGATGACCAGAGCTGCTGTAAAGGTAAGTAACAGCTCGCTCCCGGCCCCTCCCCTGCATAGTACACACCACTGGACCACCAGGGATACATTGCCCCCCTCCCTGGCCAGGCAACAAGCAAAGGAGGAGAAACATAAAAATAAAATTAAACAAATACAAAAAATTTAAATAAAACAAATAAATATTAAAATAAATAATGCCCTCCCCCCTCCCAGTTTATGTATATCACACACATACACACACTGCATTATATACAGACACTGCATTCACACACACTGCATTCATACAAACACACTGTGTGAATGCAGTGTGTGTATATGTGTAGTGCGTGTATAGTGTGAATGCAGTGTGTATGTATACAATGCAGAGTGTGTTTGTATGAATGCAAACACACTCTGCAATATATATATATATATATATATATATATATATACACACACACACACACACACACACACACACACACTACCTGCATTCATTATGTACACACTGTAAATAAATATTCAATTAATGTAATTTTATTGGGATCTAATTTTATTTAGAAATTTACCAGTAGCTGCTGCATTTCCCACCCTAGGCTTACACTCGAGTAAATAAGTTTTCCCATTTTTTTTTGTGGTAAAATTAGGTGCCTCGGCTTATATTCGGGTCGACCTATACTAGAGTATATACGGTACGTATTATTTAAAAGGCTGAAGAGTTTTAATCACCTGCATGTCCACTTCATTCTTGATTGTCTTTCCATCAGCCCATTTCAACTTATTTCTTGCTTCCCCTTAGCAGATAAATAAAAACAAAAAAAATAAAACACTAAAATTCCTATTTTATTTTTTTAAACTGGTTAAATGTTTTGATATTTTGTTTAATTCAAGGTCAGCAATTACTAGGAGTTCAATGGAAAGAGGCTAACAGACAGGACATCCACTATACCAAACAATAGCCAAAGATGCTAAATGAGTTATTTCTAAAAGGGGCGACGCTAGAGAAAGCTATCAAAGTGAAGTCATCACCGTGGAAACCAAGAAAATGTTCCAGAGGTTTCTCCACTTTTAGAACCTTTCTCAAGAGCTGCTCATTAAACATTGCTACTAACATTACTCTTTGCACATGGCTATTAACATTTGAGAATGAATGACTTTGTAACTCACTCAATGCAAATGCTTTTGCTTACAGATTACTCTGATCAAACTATCCTATTTTATCTCAGGGGCCAGAGATCTAAAAACTCAACTACAGATGTTTAGCAGCTACATTACTCAGCTGCTGTCCACATATACTGATCCCACCAGCACAGTTTATGTGAATGGATGGATTCAATAAATGGACAAAAACTTGGGAGAGCATCATTAACTCAGATTGCGTTAAATTCAAATTGGTAAAGTCACACCAGCGCTCACTTTAAGTAGAGTCCATTGACTCTACTTAAAGTGAAATATAATAGTAATAAGAATATAAAGATGCCAATATACACAATAATAAGCAATTTACAAAATGGTGATTTGGAAGCCGTAATGCAATTTTTAATTAAAAAAAAAAAAATCATAATTCTTAAGGTTTGGTCATCTAGGCATATAATAAATATTATATATATATATATATATATATATATATATATATATATATATATATATATATATATATATATATATATATATATATATATATATAAAATCCGTTTTCAATTCCCCACAGTTACTGGTAAATATAACCCATTCAATCTTACACTGCAGCTCAGAACTATAGATTTTGATTTAATATCCCATGCACCAATGGTCGATTTGTCACTGAAGGATTGGTTACACCTAGGGGGTTTATTCACTAAATCCCAAGTTATTATTGACCGATACGGTATTTGTACATTTTGTTGTATAAGAGATGAATGTGCCTTTGTTGTCTACTAACAGCTTGGGAGCTTGATGTCCTTTAACATTGCAGTAGGAGCTATTACAATACTTTCATCTCCTCTGGATGCAGTAAATCATGCATATATAATTGAATTAAGAGATATATCTAATATATATACACACACACACACACGATACCAGTAGAGAGCACTTAGGAGTCTTTCAAGGTAAGTGTCATCTGTTGCTTTATTGAGCAATTACAAATTCACACAACGTTCCAGTCGACGTTTTAGTCTGTAAAAGTCTTTTACAGACTGAAACGTCGACTGGAATGTTGTGTGAATTTGTAATTGCTCAATAAAGCAACAGATGAAATTTACCTTGAAAGACTCCTGAGTGCTCTCTACTGGTATCGTATACAATTTGGTTGGAGACAGCACCGGAGCATTAAAAGACGGGGAACATGGAGTGCTGGGACGTGTGTGTGTGTATATATATATATATATATATATATATATATATATATATATATATATATATAATGATGATGGCTGCACTCTTCGGTCTTCTTAATAAAAAATGCAAAAATGCTTTATTCAATATGCATTAAAAGAATGATCAACGTTTCAGCCCCAATCTGGGCTTTCTTCAGGATCAGAAAAAACAAAAACCACATATAAAAAGAGATTATATATATATATATATATATATATATATATATATATATATATATATATATATATATATATATTTTTTTTCAATATACAAATAAATCCATAATTTCCATCTCACCCATTAGCAATCCCATGTTGAAACGATATCGCTCTTCCAGCAGCTGAGTCTTACATTTCTGAATCACAGTTTCCACCTGTGAAGAGGACAAAAACACCCATGAAAACAGGTCTGGCTAACTATAAATATATACCAATCTTAATTTTCATTATAAATTCAATTATAGGTGTCAAGCATCATCACCACTTCAGCTTATTGTAGCAGGAATGGTGAAAAGAGGCTCTGTGAGTAGCTTTGTTAAACTGTTTAAGTGGTATGATGAAAATAAAACCAGGGATTTCCTGGCACCTTCCACCATCCCCTCTGTTTGGGATGTGATAATTAGAACTGGTTATGATGCTTGGAGCATCGCTTTAAACTCAAGATATTAAACTAGTACTACAGGCCCATCTCTCCCAACATTGGGAGTGCATACACGACAGGTTCAGACTCACTCAGAGCTGTGCATGCTTTGAGATTATACTGCATATTGCGATCACGTCTTAAGATGCACTCTCACGGTTTGCAGATGGGTGAGAGCTGTGAACAAACGCAGGACAGATCCCCTGAAATTTTGGAAGGTGTGCAAGCATTTAACACCCTTGTAGTCAACAGATGATTTGTACGCAACAATACTCACAGCCTCTTCTATCTGTTCTGGAGTCACAGTCACACCAACTCCACATTCCTTCTCGAAATCCGCAGCATTGATGGGATCCACAGGATGGGATTTAACATAATCTAGAGCAGCTGAAAAACATTTTTAAGAGAGAAATTTATTAAATTAGAGAAACCAAACTTCTTTCAAACACGGATTTTTTTCTTCATTTTATAGTTCAGTATAATGTTTTTCCTGCCAATCAGTAACATACTTGCTCTCTCTGCTCCTGCAGTGGTAAAAGTGCAATTTAAACTTAATATCTAAAACGGACACACATCAGTTTACCACCCATTTGGAATGCTTTAAAAAATAAATAGAATCTATAGAATAACCATTTCTTGTAGGGTTTGCAGCCACTCTCATACTTTGTTGTACTTCCCCTTAGACTAGTTGCGGACAACTTGTGATCCGCGGTATGTTTTCAGGTGGTCCGCGACTGCAGCGCCACTCTTATTAAATGTTTTCATCTTCAATCTAAATTCCCTACCACCACTGCAGACTTCTGAGCATAGAGAAATTACAGTGAGACTGCCGCAAGCTATATTATATATTAAAAAAAAAAAAAAAAGAGAGAAAAAAAAAAAAAAAAAAAAAGAGGAATCACAAACAAGCGCGGCTCTATTACTCTATAATATTGTTGGAGTAAAGCAAGATATTATGCAAATGCATATTTCTAAATTTGCTAAATGTATTTTATTCATTTCGCTGGTACGCTGCTACTCAGTTACCTGACTTTGTTTATATTTCAGCACTTGGGCAATCACGCACTCAAATTTTTCCAGGAGGCAAAATATGCTCCCATAACAATTAATCCTCCCCATTGCCTACCTTTGTTGGCTCAAGAGAGGGGTTTCCTGGTGCGAGGTAAATTTTAGCTACCCTTTAATAGGAACAATTATATGACTGTGGTAGCAACAGCTAAAAGACAGGTATGTATCTATGCCACATGAGAACTTTAATGCAAAATAGCTGGTATGGTAAAGATTAGCCACAACTACCACAATCTACAAGTCCCATGGTGTTCAGTCAATAATGGCTGGCTGTTTATCACGGGAGTTGCAGTCAACCACAAAAAGGTTAGTGTGCAATGTAGTGGCCACAAGACCAGTCTACAACTACAATTCCCATGGAGTTCAGTTACCAGTATGGCTGGCTGATTATTAATGTACATGCTCTCAACAAAAGTTAGTGTTTTTGCAGTAGACTTCGTGTAGTGCCCCCACCCCCCAACACAGCCCCTTCCACAGTAAGTTACTATTCCTATAATGAGCAACTATCAATGTTGCTTGCTCAACATCATGGGATTTGCTCTCAACAAGTTAACATTGTGTAGTATTTTGATCCATTGTTAACCTGAAAAAACATCACAACCTATCTCGTTCACAACAAGAACAACTAATTGAACCATTTTTTTTTTTTGTGGTAAATTCTGTATTTTCAATTTTTCAGTTATAACTAAGGATATTTTGGGATACAGAATGAGAAATAAGGGAAGGGTAGTCCCCACACAAGGTTCCACATAATTATTTAGCTTGTAGTACAGCTCAACTGTTTTATGCATTTCACAAGTTTGGTCAGTACAGTTGTTTTTGTTCCCTTGGTGGTGTGGTCGTGTATGCCTCGGATGGGTTTACTTTTGGTGTAGTAGTACCTGTAGTTTCGTGTCCATCCTTGGTCGCCGTGTGTGGTTGCTATGTGTGTAATTGATCTTTTTGTGACGAATATCCAGCACGGAGTAAAAAAGCCCTTAAAATCCTCTGCCCTTCCACTCAATGTACACATGTAAATTTGCATTTCCTGCCCATAGTGCTATTAAACTGAGAAACAGTTTGGACGTGAAACCACCATTGAGAATATCTTTAACTTCTTTGAGGCCTAATAGTGGAAAAACAAGTGAGTGAAATGCTCAAAGCCCACACTGAATATACTTAATTAAATAATTTAGTTTTTATTTCTGCATCAATCCGTTTTCCTTATTGTAGGTTGCAGTGAATAACAACTTGTATTATTGAAAAAAAGGCCTATTCCTTAATTAGTCAACATTTAAAGATTTTTAAATTAGTCACCAAGCTGTGTATTGGTAGTCCGCTACTGAAATGTGATCCTCTGGCGTGAAAAAAGGTTGGTAACCATTGCCCCTAGACCATAGCCAACCATGAAATGTTCAACTTATCATGCTATTAAAACACATTTTGATGGAATAATCTGTGGCCATGCTCAGCAAGTTCCTATATATACAGTCTCCATGTGCAAAAGAGCCACAAGCTTAATTCCATTAAAAAACACAATAGGAAACTACTCAAAATTATTTGAGAATATAGAAAGCATGCACAACCATGTATTTCAGAATAAATTCCCTTTAATGATAGGTGGCTGGGGATGGGAGGAGAAGAAACGTATTGAAATTGGTACAGGGTTATTCACTGAACTTTGAAATATTGAAGGCAGGCGCTGGCTTTACAGATTCTCAAAAAAAAAAGTTAGAGAATATTTCCAATTTGACAATTTTGGGCCCAAATTTTGCTATTCCCTTGTCAACACCCAACAACATCCAGAATAGTGAATAACCCTCTTAATGAAGCATAACGGCATGCTGCTGATCTCCACCCTTCCTCTTTCCAGCATGTTCATTTGCTTGGATGTTTTGATGCAATTGAGGTTCCTGGAACATAACTTAAGATGACCCTCCTTTCATTACGACAGCAGAGAAAAACAAACAAACCATCAAACAGTGAGCACAATTTGTCGCTAACTGGATTTACTGTTCGGCCTGCTCATGTATTGGGTTAATAAAACAAATCAGTTAACTAGATAACAGAAGACATTGCCCATTGAATTCACACATTTTTACACACACACACACACTAATAGGTACACACATATATACTTCATAAAGGACAAGACTTCCTTTAAAAATGCATTTGAAAAGACAAAGTAATGAAAATATATTACCGTTTAGTTGGAGGTCCGTACCGATCTTCTTCCTGGCAATGTATTCAACTAGAAAACCCAATCTTTTCGTATCCTTAAGACGGGATGCCACATTGTAGAGCAGAGTACCTGTCACCTTGTCAATGGAAGGACCCGATATAGACTGGGCCTGAAAAAATACAAATTAAAGAACATCAATAATCATGGTCACAGGAGCCAAACATCAATACTTCCTCCCACACCCACCCTATACATGTTTGATAGTACTTACAAAACCACCAGAGAAGCTTACTTTAAAAGAAGCTGCCATCTGAATGGTGTTCATTACAGATTTTATTTAGCTGTCTTGCTGTATAAACCAAATTTTATCTTATTTTTAATCTACACTTTTTTTTCAAAAAGGGGAAGCAGGTGAAAGCCAGCTAGCAATATTCATAGTTGTGTCAGAACGCAGTACTTCGAAAGTTAGCCTGTAATGCAGGTTCACTCTAAATGGGATCTGCCACTTCTGAGAATTTTTAATATGTTTACTTATTGCCGGAATGTAGCAAACGTGTGTCTGAGAAATAAGATTAAATGTAGACATCCACACTATTGGATTTGCCTTTGCCCCGTCTCCACTTTAGCTCACCGTTAAGCCTTGACATAAGCTCTGCCCTATCAGTCAGCAGATCACCTACATCATTAGACATCTTCGTGGGGGCAGAAATAACCAATGGCCAGAAGGGAAAATAATGTATTTACCTTCTCTTCATATACAATGTGTGCCCTGTCTGTGCTTGGGTCAAACTGGATTGTAATGTCAAATGTGAATTCTTTAATATATATTAAAAAAAACAAACAGCACTGGGAAAACTGCTTAGGTACGAGGAATGGGTGTGCCCCCGTTTGAGCCTCTAGGAGGGACACAGACAAATTCTCAGAAAGCAATGTACATAGTCGGTAGTTAAGAAGCGGCTACCTTATCTCCATCTGCCGGGCAGTTATAGGCAGGTGGACAGGACAATAACGGGGCTTGGCCCAAGGATGAGCGTTCCTACTGGGGGAGGTCGATGGGGGGAGAGACGGAGATAGAGGACCAGTGGGCTGGGGTGAGAGAAACCGATCTATACTGGGGGATGGAGACAAATCTACTCTTTTTGATCTGTTCCTGTTAATTTTGTATTACATATAAATTGGCAATGACATGGGAAGGGACTGATGGAGAGCCAGTCGGACGTACATACAAGTAGAAAGTCAAAAATGGGTCGCAAGAGAATACTGAGAACGGGCAGCAGCTGAAATAGCCCGCCCTTCGGTCGGTCCCCGCTCAATTCTCAAGCTGATTTTTGCTCATCTTGTGCCATTACAGAGAGAACATATCTGGAGCAAATCAGACTGGTCCCACCCATACGGGCAGTCCAGATCCGAAATGCCAGCAAGTTCTCTCTGCATGAGAGATACAGCAACCCCAGACGACCGTTTCAGCCTTGTTAGGCATCATCAGTGAGGCATAGCTGATATCTCCCTAGGCACCGTGAGCAAGGGGTCCAGGTCTGGATTATCCCTTTAAACTTGTGGAGAGTCAAAAATGGGTCGCAAGTAGAAGACTCGGCGCAAGGTGCATTGCCCTGGATACTGGATGGATGGGCGGGAGATTGGGTCATGAGTAGGTGCGTGGTGTTCCACGGTATCTAACGGCGATGTAATGCTCAGAGATTGTATTATATATGTGCGTCAGCTTGATATATCACTGCTAAATGTTAAATAAAGAATTTTTTAAAAAATAAAATAAAAAAACAAACAGAAAATCACATGAGGTTTGTTTGTGATTTTAAGTTCTATTTATAATTTCCAAAGAAGTGGCAGTTCCACTTTAAGTGTGATTTGGATCAATGCTTACAAAAAAATAAAATAAAAAAAAAGCAAGATTTGCATTTCAAATAATTTTACCAAATCCTCTATTTTCGTATAGATTTTGCAGTTTGGGTTTCAGTTGATTACAATTAAAATTTTAGTTCGTAAATCCCTCGGACCAAACACTTACAACAATGTTAAGAGTCAAAGACTGGACTTAAAAGGATTTTATAAGCAGGTAGAGGTGGTGGTAAGAGATGAAAAGTTTTTAACAGAAACAATCTGTAAAGAAACAAAACATTAAATATTTTTCAGTTTTATAAAACCTGACATATTGGTATAGTCCCATTTAATAATTTAGGCAGTGTCACAGCCGAGAGTCTAAACAAAACACCAAATAGCAACAAGATAGCAGGGATTCATCGTAACATCCAAGTTACGATATTTCTCACTTCAAGAATACCTCCAGTCCTGACAGTGTTTTAATGTTTCCGTAATGAGTATGTGATTAACCAATAAACTACCTAACCCTGACCAAATGTGCAAATGCATGAGAATTTGATTTCGAATTCTCTCAATAATCCATTGTAAACACTGTGAAGTTTTAAAATAATCATAATATAAAACCCATCACCATCCTGTAATGTGCAGCAACTGTCTAGCCACAAGGTGGCAGGGTTGATACACAGATGAAAACCACCACCACCACCACTTTTAAGTTCTTAACTAACAGACTTAGTTACCAAAAATAAAATGATAGCACCGAGATAAGGTGTGACTACACCTTCACGCAGTTTACTTGTTAAGCATATCGCTTGGTCAGGCGTGGCATGTATTACATGCTTTGGTTACATTACACAACACACAGTGATCTGAAGGACACGCTGCTGCGGATTCAGATTATCAACTGATATGCTTAAGACAAAGATGAATGAGGCCGGCACATGGTGAGACATAGGAGCCCTTTAAATATATAGGAAGTAGCAGTTTACGCTATTAGTCTGTGTCATGTTATTTTCCTTTCTGAACACAGTCCTATTATATAGTAGGATACCGTAAAATACGTCACACTAAGTTGACCATTTCAAGGGCATTGTTCATTTTAAATACACACAGGGAGTGTGAGCATTTTATCTTACTCATAAAGCGCCGTCTGCCAGCGTTATACAATTGAATGTGTGAGGAGAGATATTTTACATACACTAACATGGAATTTTATTTATAATAACAGGCAGGTGGCTTGTATAACTTTATAGGGGTACAGCACATTCAACAGAACAGTGCACACAGTGCAATAGCTATATAAGATCTACCAGGATAGTAGATGTAAGCAAGGACCATCTGCTTGACATAGCTCATTTTATATGGATGAAATGACACACTTACCTGCCGTTTTGCATGCAATCTATTGTGCAAGATACATGTGTACCAGTAGGCATCCTACAATGCTTGAGGCTTTATTTCACAATGTTATAAAAAGCGCTGCGTTCACAGCATTCTGAGATAGTCCTCTAAGCTAATCGTTTATATAATCTTAAACAGATTTTATCAATACATTCGCAAACTGCGTATAAAGTGCCCTGCATGCTATACGTACGCTCTAGAAATTTTCTTATGGACATGACCACACTATCAGACTGCACAGAAGGCTCGGAGTGGGTTAAATTCTTAAGAAGGAGGCTGTAACCAGAGCCCCTCTCTCCTGACAAGTTAGGAATAGTTTGCCTTTTGCTGCTGACGTCATTGGAAGGCTCTGGTTATGTGTGGTGATTGAATGCTCCAGCCGTCCTAGACCAACACTTGTGCAATAAGAGACCCTAAATTAAGCCCTGACTGATGGTAAGGAAAGAACTCCAGAGAGTGACAGGACCTCCAATTTATCCAGCAGGGAGACCCGTTTCCCACTCTGTAATACCAACACCTAAACTATCCAAAATGAATAGCTTTTTATTAGCCAAAATTAAGCAATAGACGGGTCATCACATAAGATTGTTTGCAGGGCAGACATTTATTTTGCTAAAATTTACAGCAAAACTTTTTTTTTTATTCTAAAAATACATTTTAGAATCCTTTCCGTGTGTGTGTGTGTGAGAGTGAGAGAGAGAGATATATACACACACACAGGTTCTGGGTACAGGGAGAAATTTAAAAAAAAAAAAAAAATTAGGGAAGAATAGATCTAAAAAAAAATGACAAATTACTTTTCCAAACTGAAACAGTTCATGCAGTCATTTTTATTGCAATGCATAAACCCCCCCACACTTCTGCCCCCCCCCCCAAAAAACAAAACAAAAAAAACACACAAGTAGCCAATCGAACATAAGAAATAAATCCATTAAATTTACCCCATTATTCAACTTATTGTAACTTACTTTCAGCTAAAATACAAAAATTACCCTAAGAGGACATGTAAAGGGTCTTTGGATCTAGAGTGGATACAAAATTTATTTTGGTTTGTGTTAAAGTGAACCTGTCAAGGCAGCTATAAGTTTGCAGTTTTCTAACTAACTGGCTTGACTCCGTATTTACAATTTAGTGTTTCTTCCCTAAAAAGAGACACTATAGACACCCAGACCACTTAATCTCATTAAAGGGACACTATAGTCACCAGAACAACTACAGTTTATTGAATTTGTTCTGGTGAGTAGAATCATTACCTGCAGGCTTTTTGCTGTAAACACTGTCTTTTCAGAGAAAATGCAGTGTTTACATTACAGTCTAGTGATAACTTCACTGGCCACTCCTCAGATAGCTGTTAGAGATCCTTCCTGGGTCATGGCTGCCTAAAATGCATCCAAACATTCAGTGTCTCCACCTTCTGCATGCAGACACTGGACTTTCCTCATAGAGATTCATTGATTCAATTCATCTCTATGAGGAGATGCTGATTTGCCGGGGCTGTGTTTGAATGGTGTTGGCTCTGTCCCTGTTCGGCCTCTTTGTCAGTCTCAGCCAATCCTATGGGGAAGCATTGTGATTGGATCAGGCTACCACTTCTGCTGATGTCAGCAGGCAGTGGGCAGGTCTAAAAGAAACAGGGACAAAGCAAGCAGCTCCAGACTTGAATACAAGCAAGATTTTACTATATTTAGAGAGGCAAGAGGGGACCAGGGTGGCTAGATGGAGGTTTTAACCCAAGAGGGACAGGAATACAGGTTTGTGTTCCTGACCTTATAGCTCTCCTTTAAAGTTATCTGGGTGCAGTTTCCCTGTCCCCCTTAACCTAAAACTGCAATCTTTACATTGCAGTGTTAAGACAGCCCCTAGTGGCCGTCTACCAGACAGCTACTAAAGGCGCTTTCCGAAGTTTCCTTGAATTTGACTCTGTAAAACAAAGTTCGATGTCTTAATGCTTTGCATGAGCACACCCAGTGGAAAGCACAGATTTAATGCTTTCCTAAAGGGAAAGGCCTAATGCGTCCATGGCCCTCGCTGCACATGCGCATTCGGTCCTCCCCCACTGGGTGATGTTGGCAGAGGAGTAGTGCAACCCAACAAGCACTGAAGAACATCGCCGCTAGAATCAGCGTAAAGTAAATAAAAGCGTTTAAGTAAATAAACTGTGTTTTTTTGTTTTGTTTTTAACCCATTTATTAATGGGGAGGGACACTTTGTGTTCCCAATACAAAATAGTTCCTTTCGTACTATTAAACGCTCATATTTTAATTTCCATTACCCTTGATTCCTGCTAAGAGCATCAGTCATGTTTTCAGTGGGTGTAATGCTTGCTGTAAGACACACCTTTCTACATGCCCTGTTTGGGAAGCAAACACCACTTTATGTTTGCTTTCTGCTCTCTCTCTTCATTCTCAGATCACCTATCTAAAGCTGCTGCAATATATTATTTTGACAGATTCTCTTCTTTCTCTAAGCTGTAGCTGCTGCTATCACACATAGCTGCCCCTCCTCCCTACTTACCCTTAGGCGGAGTTAAAGCAAGAGAAAAGCTCACAAGAGGACTTCACAGGTAACTGAGTAAAAAGAGGGTGAAAGGGCTGATTTTTAACCAGTTTTAGAGAAATATTAGACATTTGCTAGTACAATGTATAAATTAAATTTGATCATTTTAAGATTAGGTTCTAATTGTCACGAGAGGTACCCTTTAAATATAAACATGATATCACCCCCCACGAAAAAGGATGAAGCAGTGACGTTGGGCCAAAGAGGATCCCTTCGGATTAAGATGGCAGTGCCTGCAAGGGACATGTTCAGCTAAGTCATGGCTTGATAAATTTGCTTGGAATTTAGGAGCCAGGTATTTTTAACTAACAACGCTTAATTTTCAGCTACATAAATACAATTCCTAAAGGGACACTATAGTCACAACAATCACTACAGCTTAATGTAGTGGTTCTGGTGTCTATAGCCTGTTCTTGCAGGCGTTTTGAATTAAACACTGCCTTTTCAGAAAAAAATTGTGTTTACATTTTGGCCGAGTAAAACCTCTAGAGACAGTAGCTCAGAAGGCCCCTAGGGGTGATTCCTAGTCCAGTGCTGCAGAGTGCGTAGCAATGACGTTCAGCGTCTTCACACACTGCATGGAGGCGCTGAATGCTCCCCATAAAGATGCATTAATTCAATCCATCTCTATGAGGAGATGCCGATTAGTGCCTGAGCAATACCTTCATATGGGACAGTGTTGGCTTGGCTGAGATCATTAAAGGACCACTATAGTGCCAGGAAAACATACTCGTTTTCCTGGCACTATAGTGCCCTGAGGGTGCCCCCACCCTCAGGGACCCCCTCCAGCCCAGCTCTGGAAAGGGGAAAAGGGTTTAAACTTACCTTTTTCCAGCGCTGGGCGGGGAGCTCTCCTTAACCCTCTCCTTCTCTGAAACTGCTATGTTTATAAAAAAAATGGGTTAACCTTAGCTGGACCTGGCACCCAGACCACTTCATTAAGCTGAAGTGGTCTGGGTGCCTAGAGTGGTCCTTTAAGATTGATTATCTCAGCTATAGAGGCGAGACCGGCACGGCGTGGGAAAACAATGTGAGTAAAATCAGAGGTGGCAGTTCACCCAAATGGACATACACACCGACAGACAGAAACAGTCTCAGACAGACACACACTCAGAATTATTTCAATTTAAAACCACCCATCTACTACTTTTGGAAGAGCTGGAGTGGATAGACTTTCCCTGGGATCCAATGGGGTTGTTGTAATCTACCTGCTCCCGTGCGGTTTAGGGATGCCTTGGCCGGAGTGACGTCATATTACAGCTCCTGGCATCACCACAGGGTGCAGGAAGACAGAGCAGGGAAATTATAGCACCCTCGCCTTCTCCGTTCCACACAGCCTGCCACCAACCCCGCCCTGCCACAGATTACCGACCCCTCTGCTCCCCCGTTAACCGCTAGTCGCCACGGCTACCTGAGATTTGTTGAGCCCTGCGGTAAGTAAACGGACGTTTACCTGCCCCACCGGACCATCAGCGGCAAATCACCATTAGGGGACTTTGCAAATTCGCTTTAAAACTGTTCCAGTGTCGTATGTCGCACCATCTCTTTATAATATGTATGTTACAAAGTGATTAACATTAGAAAAATTGGAACCACTGGCTGGGATATATATTCATAGATGATGGACTTTTCCAAATCTGCAACTCCTCTGAACTTTGTGGCAAGCTTGCCGTCATATGTATCACAACACATGCTCACATCCCAATGATTCTTAAATTCCCCACCCTGCCCTTATCCAAATCTGTTAGCTACTGTACCAAACCAGAAGAGTAAGCTCAGAAGATTAAGCTATAAACCTTTGCTGCGTCTCGGGACCACCGATAAAGAAGATTACATACACTTTAGCAATGCCAACTGTGATTGGCTAAGAGTGAAGAGTTTACCTGCCACAAGCACTCTTAAGTTAATAAATAATAGAGGATAAATGGGTTTTAAATTGTGAAAAGGTATGTTTAAGACACACCTACGTCATACCTGTATGACATACGTGTAAACTCGACCCTTTGTGCATGCAAAGAAGGGTGGAAATTAGGAGGGCCATTGTAATCCTTCACTGGCTAAAACCTGTTCTACAGAAATTAGAGTTAATCTCTTACATAGTGAGATTATTGTATTTCTGGTAAGTAAGCCATGGGATAATTTATTTGTTATCTACTATCGCAAATGGTAAGAATACTAAGTTTTCAATTGTCGTCAGGCCATAATTCCTATAAGCTGCAGCTAGCAGTGTCAAAATGCATATGGCTTTGACATAGGATAATTTGGATGACTGAAACTGGAGGCTGTTCCATCTTGACTGAATAACAATATGTTGAGCACCAGAGCAAGTTATCTATAACTTAAAGGGACACTATAATCACCAGCACAACTACAGCTTATTGAATTTGTTCTGGTGAGTAGAATCATTACCTTCTGGCTTTTTGCTGTAAACACGGCCTTTTCAGAGAAAATGCAGTGTTTACATTACAGCCTAGTGATAACTTCACTGGCCACTCCTCGGATATCTGTTAGAGATCCTTCTTGGGTCATGGCTGCCTAAAATGCATTCAAACATTCAGTTTCTCCACCCTCTGCATGCAGACACTGAACTTTCCTCATAGAGATGCATTGATTCAATTCATCTCTATGAGGAGATGCTGATTGGCCAGGGATGTGTTTGAATCATGCTGGCTCTGCCCCTGATCTGCCTCTTTGTCAGTCTCAGCGAATCCTATGGGGAGGCATTGTGATTTGATCATGCCACCACTTCTGATGATGTCAGCAGACTGCAGTTTTTCTGAGTCAAACAGCATGCAGAGTTACAGCTTCAGGCTTGAATACAGTAAGGTTTTGCTATATTTATGGAGGCACGAGGGCCCAGAGGGGCTAGATCGTGGTGTTAACAATATAGGGTCAGGAATACATGTTTGTGTTCCTGACCCTATAGTGATCCTTTAAACAGAACTGCTACAATTATAGAGTGTGTAGTTAGACTGGATTACCCAGAACTTCCTGCAGCGTGAACCACTTTGAACCTTGTTCATTATATGCCAAGTTGCCTTTAGCCGTTAAACTTCAGGAAACTCACTTAAAATTTAAAAGCTTTAATCAGAGGGCCAAGGACGACTCACCTGTAGCAAAGTGTAAACTACTCGAATGAGAGTAAATCTGCCCAGTATATAGCTGAGGTAAGGGTTACTGCAGTACCCCCAAAAAATTAATCAAAATTCAAACTTTTCCTATTGTGCTGCCGACACCTCCCTCTGCATCTCCAAGCAGGGTAAAGTAATCCACAAAAATAGAAAAAAAATTAGGGCAGCGCAGACAATTGCAAATGTGCACACCAAGTGCTACAAAAAGATTTACTTACTAGGACATAAGTACAAATGTTAAGGGTTATCCCCTTTATCAATGCATGTTTATGAAGGACCTGCAATGATAAAGGGGATAACCTGAAACATTTGTACCTTATGTCCTTGTAAATACATCTTTTTGTAGCACTTTTGTTTGCTACATTTGCAATTGTCTGCGCTGGCCTCATTTTTTTCCATTTTTGCAGAGCAAATGTGCCAAGGGCTTTAACCAGAGCAAGATTTGAGTTACAGTGGTCAAGCATTTCACACGGAAGATGATAAACACTGCTTAAAGGGGCACTCCAGGCCACAAAAGCATGTCAGCGTGCGTGGTGTGTGAAGAGTCTGTAATTCCTAAACAGATTTATATTTTGTTTGGATTTGGGAAGCGGAGTGTCCCTTTCAGGCTTAGAGTTACACTTTCTCAGACCTGCCTTAACGCCCCAAAAGGAGGTATCTATACTTAACATTGCCCCATCCCAAAGTCACAGTGACACCTCACCGGTAAAAGAGTATTAGCTTGAAGTCACTGGGACATCACTACAGCCAGACCTGGTTCTCATTAATTTCTATGGGAGAATTCATGAGCATGCCCTTGCTAATAATTCAATCACAAACAGAGGGAAGCTGGCTGCTGCTGTACTGCTGATGTGAGCAGTATATAGCTTAGTGACACAAAACACTGCATTTCCTTTAAAAGTATCACACACTTCCCGTTTGTTTGTTTTTTCCCCACTATCTCCTGTTTGAGGTGAGAGCAAAGCATTGCCCCAAATAAAAAGGAGTTTGTTATTAGGATAAATAAAACATCTGGGTAAAAAACACAGATGCATGTGTGTTGCTTTGGTGTCTGGAGGGTCCCTGTATTGTTTTAACTAAATAACAAACATAAAAAAGTATAACAAAAGAAAGCACGGGTTTCTATCTTCACAACCTAAATGCTTTGGGCTACATAAAAATATTAAAGATTCTACAAAAGCTTCAGTGTGTCCTGGTTTGACCAGCCTGCAAAGAGCATCATTATTGATCATTACAGGATGCTGCTCATGTTGTAATAATTAAAAAAAAAAAAAAAAAAAAAATGAGGTTACTAGCAGAATATGCGTTCGAGATATAAAAAGGGGTCAAATGAGGGTACTCATCAAATTACGCCACAGGTATTTTTCACATTACAATGCTGTATGCCAAAACAGAATTGTTTTGCTTTGTAAGGGACACATACACCAGCAATTTATAGAGAAGCATATGCATTCCATACTACAGTCAGTGCCAGTAAATAATACAATTTATCATGATTATTTAAAAATAGAAAAGGAAAAGGAACGGTTTCTAAAAGGCTCAAAAGATACTTTGGATTAGTACACAGAGCCCACTCTCACATTTAAAAATAAATAAAAAACAAACAGCTGCTGTTAAAGACAACCCACTAAGGCTGCCAAACAAGGAGTCAAAACACGAACAGGTTTATTTACTAAACACCACTTTTTGTCCATATTGAATTCAGACAGTCAACTCCAATATTTACTCAAGTCAAATCTGGTATCACCATTCAATGTCAACTTAAAAATCGGTGTTTTTCAAACACACATTCCATAGAAACAATAGATTTCTGACATCTACAAGGCACTGATTTAAAAGAAAATCAGAGCTGAATGTAGGATGAACATTTATAAATGACCATTTACTTGATTTTTGGAAGCGAACGATATTTGTATGTTCTAGCAGCCTGCAAGGAAACCGTTAAAACCCTCACTGGCCTGAGAGCTAACCTATGAGGCAGCTGGCCAGCGCTTGCTAGCCAGTTGTCACAGTAACAATGTTAAAAAGAAAAGTCTATGGGGGTTGGGGGTAAATATGACCACTATATTATTATAAGGAGGATGAAAAGCTCCCTTATGCTCCCACGCACCATGTCGTGGGTGTGGGTATAACTACTTAGAGGGAACCTCCAGGCATCATAAAAACAATCATAATGAAGTTATGGTGCCAGAAGGTCACGGACGCCGGCTTCACCCCTAAGTCTTCTCTCCAGCACAGTTTAGCTCTATGCCTGTGCTTCCACTTCTCTGTGATTCTTCAAACAAAAAGCTGGCGCTGGACGCAATCAGTAGCTACCATTCACAAAACAGCATCAGAAAACGTATGTAGTTTTCTCAAGCCGTTTTTATAGTAGGATTTGCCATGTCAGACGAAATTGGGGTTAGGAGTAGGCATCACCACAACAACTCTAAAGGTTTTTTGCCTATACAGTACAGAAAAAAAAAATGAAATGAGGAAGTGCACCATCTCACTGTATCAGAGGAAACACAAATATATAAAGAAAAAAATCTTATCAGAAGCTTCCCCATATGTCTAGCCAACCCCTCAAATGGGATTTCCAGGGTTTCTCCAATATTTCGTTCCAAGGAGGTGAATATAATTAAGAGGAGCCAGGCATTGGATTATCAACATAGCCTGTTGCATAAATGTGCCAAAAAAACGGGGAGTATCTTCTCAAAAGAAGTTGTGTCTTTGTGGCCTTATGTATCAGAGTTTAAGCTGTACATAGTGTGAACAAGATAAGCAAGTATTCTCTACTTTGAAGATTTAGTTTTTTTCTTTATTTAGTTGTGGACATAGTCACTGAAATTTGTAATGCTTCACAATATAAGAAAATCAAAGCAATTGCAGAATAAGAGAAATATAATGTTCAAATTATGCATGTAGGTCGTAATAAGAAGACATAGAAACTAACAAAAAAAATTAAAATAACATTCACAGTGATGGATCTAGTTAGGTTTTGTGCATATATAAGTGCATGTAATGAGTGCCAGTATGGCTGTTGTAGGGACCTGCCGACTGGTCAGCTTATCATTTAGCGAGTCCTATGGGGGGACAGTGCAGTCGTAAGGAGTAGGCTCCAGTTCCACACTGAGGCTGGTAGCTTTCTGAGCCTTTATCTCCTCTTAAATTCCAGGCTGTACTGGCAGCAACTGGAGACCCTTCAGGACTTCCACTGGGTCTTCTGAAGGTGAGAGGGCATGGACTGCGTCTCCCCACTGCACCACAATGGATTCCCAAAACTCCCCAGTGGTATTTTATGCCGCGTTCCCTACAGGCAAAAACTTGCGTCTTTCCATAAGGACTGAGAAGGGTAAGTCATAGAATATCGAGATTCTGTAGTGGTGCTTCCTGGAGCAGGCCATGATGGACTTTTTCACTGCAATGTCCCTGGTAAATGCTATAATGTCTCTGGGTACGTCAGCGGGTGCTTTCCTGATCCTGAAGGCTGATACAATGGGTGACGGTCTCTATTTACTTTCATCACCCTAATAACTTTGGGGACGTAGTCCGTCAAGGCCTCTGGGCCTACAGAATCTAGCACTCCACGAACTGATATTTTTCCGGGGTTGTCGCGCTGTAATGGGAATGGGTTTCAGTTAGTCGCTATTTCCGGTCACCTTCCCTAGATTTGACTTCTCCAAGCCTCTGCTGAAGCCCGCCAACCTGCGCTTGCACTCAGGCTAGGTCAGCTTTCCAGACCTCTCTCAGATCCAGAAGGAGCTTTTTAATGTCTTCCTTGGTAGAGGGAAATACGTCTGAGTCGGAGCTAATCTGCTGGTACACCTTGCTAGCTTCCTGCAACCTCCAAGCCTCCTCTCCGTCTTGGGAAGAGTCAGACGCTTGAGGTATGCGGCCTCTCAGGTGCCATGTTTTTTCGGGCCTGCGTCTGTGGTCATTCAGTGGGACCTCTGATAAGCTAAAAGCAGTCAGCTGACATTCACAGCTGCCCATTGCTGCTCAGCCTAATACTTCCTCATAGCTAAAGCAGCTCAGATGGGATGGGCTGCTGGGGACACTCGTTTAGCATTAAAAACTGAACCAGTGGACTTAAGACACTACAAACAGTTAATGACATGAAGCAGACACAGTGTCCCTTTAACTGGCACAATGCAGCCAGACAATTTAGAATTACAGATAATGACAGAACTGTATCACTCCAAAGTCCAATTGCAGCAAGAGTAATTCCGCTCTAACCAAAGCCTGGCATTGGGCATAGTGACCTTAGGTTAATTGGACATTGTCACTACACAGTTAAGAAGGAAAACTGCAGCAAGACGCAGAAAATCTCGCTTAATGGAAAGTGGTGGCCTACGCTCAGTGATTTCTACTACCAGTTCTCCAGACACGGTTTAAAGCAGTTGAATTCACAGAGCTCTGTAGTGCAAGCCTTTCTTCTACAAAGTTTTCAGGCGAGATTGCATACCCAAATGCTCCAGTTTTACAACTGTCCAGCAAAAGGTGTGGATAAAATAGCCAGATTTACTAATTAAAAGGGATGCTCACATATTGTACATTTAAAAAAAAAAAAACACAATCCAAATAGGTCATAAGACAAAGGGACTACTTTGTCATATGGGCAAGCCTAAATTGAAAAAAAGGAGAACATTTCTCTAATCCAAACAACGGTCACAAGCAATGGTTGTGGGAATCAGGCAACATCTCTCGAAGTGTGAGACGTGACCTATGGACGCTCCGATGGTCGAATAGACCCATAGAACACAGTTCTGTACTCTGGCATGTGCTAGAGTACAGAACTGACAACGTTCCTTGCACATTAGGTACGGATCTATTTCTCTGTAAAACTTAAGACAAAGTAGGGACTTGTTTGTCTCATGTATTTTTCCTAGGCTTAAAGGGACTCTCCAGTGCCAGGAAAACAAACCGTTTTCCTGGCACTGCAGGTCCCCTCTCCATCCCACCCAGAGTTGCTGAAGGGGTTAAATCCCCTTCAGTGACTTACCTGTATCCAGTGCTGATGTCCCTCGGCGCTGGTTCAGGGTCCGCCCACACACTGTCGGCGGGGGAGACCTATTGCGCACGTGCAGCCAGGGAGACATAATGCATATGCGCGGCAATGCGCACGCACATTAGACCTCCCCATAGGAAAGCATTAAATAATGCTTTCAATGCTTTCCTATTGGGAGTTTGGCAACGCTGGAGGTCCTCACATAGTGTGAAGACGTCCAGCGTCGTTATAACACACTTTTCATGTTCTATGAACACGGAAGTGTCCTCTAGTGGCTGTCTAGTAGACAGCCACTAGTTGAGGACTTAACCCTGCAAGGTAAATATTGCAGCTTATGAAAACTGCAATAATTACACTTGCAAGGTTAAGGGTAGTGGGAGCTGGCACCCTGGCCACTCCAATGGGCAGAAGTGGTCTGGGTGCCAGGAGTATCCCTGTAACAATCTTGACAAAAGGTGGGGCTTAAGACACACATTACACACAGATGTTGCACAAAAACTATCAGGGGAACAGAAGGAGAGACACTAAGGGTTATGCACTAAACTCATAATTTTAACAAAATGAATGAAATAATAGAGACAAAAGATTGTGACTATGTGAGATAATTACACCCTCAAAAAGTAAGGCTTAATAGGAAAGATATAAAAAGTTCCCCCATGAGGATCATAGGGCACCATAACTGCAACAGCTTGCTGTTTTGGTTATAGTGTTTCGAGTGTTTCTTTAAAAAAGATACTATAGTCACCAGAGCCCCTACAGCTTAATGTAGTGATTATGGTTTCTATAGCCTGTCCCTTCAGGCTTTTTAATGTAAACACTGCCTGTTCACCTAAATAGCAATTACTGGTTTCTAACAGACTTTTTGGTTGTCTAACTGATGCTGGATGTCCTCACACTCTGGATGAGGACATCCAGCATCAGTAAAATCCCCATAGGAAAGCATTAGCCACCCCCCGATCCCTCCAGATAACATAAGAGGATGCAGAGCAAAGACATAGTGCTTAGGGACACCAATGCTGGAATTTACCTGCTGAAGGAAGGGGGGACACCAGAGGGCTCTATAGTGTTATGATTTCAATTTTGTATTCCCAATACTATAGAATCTCTAACACAATAGTGTCAGGAATACATAGTTGTCCCATTGGCGCTTTCCCATAGTGAAAGCATTGGATTGGCTGAAATTGGCAAGGAGGCGGTGCCAAATGCAAGCTATGCCAATTAGTACCTCCTCATAAACATGCATTGAATCATTGCATCTCTATGAGGAAAAGTCAACGCTTAACGGCAGTGCAGGACTCCCCCAGGAAGCACCTCCAGTGGCCATCTGAGGAGTGGTCACTGGAGGGGTTCCTAGGGGGCAATGTAAACACTGCCTAAGCATGGAAATGCCTGCAGGCATTGATTATATTGACCAGAACAACTACATTAAAGCTGTAGTTGTTCTGGTGACTATAGTGTCCCTTTAAATACACCTCTAGTCACTTCTCTATAAAATGCAAGGGATTGGAGCAGATCTCAGGTGACACCACCTTGAATGTTGACATCACCGAAGGAGGAGCTGGATGCTGCAGCGGAGGAATCCCAGCACTGGAAACAAAGTTCGTAATCTTTATTTAACTTATCTTACTGAGCAATGAGGTCGACAGTGATCACTTTACTATAAAGTAAACATATAGTTCTGTAATGGTAATTCATTGTTATTTGGGGGAGGGGGGACTAAATGTTCTCCTAAATAACCACAGACAAAAGAAAAATCCCCCTCCCAACCTGAAAGTAAGGGTTGTAGAATACAGGAAATTAGTTATCTGAACTTTAATAGGAAATTAGCACCCCCCCTAGCCCCCACCCCAAAAAGTGACCCCTTTTCCTGAGAGTAAATCTCCAGTGGCTGGTGAATTAAATTAAAAGCCATACTAAGTGTCTGCATGTGACAGAGTGACTCATAATGCACTGACTGGGGGTTCAGAGAAGCCCAATGGTGGAGGTGTCCCCAGCACGGTACAGACAGCCCCCATGGGAGCTCACACAGTGCCCGTACCTGGAGGACGGCCTCCCGCAGGGCCGAGCTCAGCGCCTCATTCTTTAACGTTTCGCGGGCCTTCTGCTCGCTCAGCCCGATGGCCGTGAAGAGGGACTCGGCTTCCGCCGCCATCTTTAAACCGGGAGGAAAAAAAAAAAAGTAAGTAGAATTCTGCAAAGCGCAATCGAAGGCGAAACCGGAAGTACAGTATCACCAATCAGAGCCCTGGTAAGGAAGGCGGTCAGCCAATGAGGTATCACTACATGACCGGCTGCTGGATGTGTAGCCAATCACAGCACAGGACAAGCTCAGTGAGAGGTTGCATCAGGTTCTGTTCGCACACGTGGGAGAGGTCAATGCTCTGGTCCTGATGGAAGAGCTTAGGCATGGGTTACTGTGAGCCATGCCAGGCATTGTGCTGCACTGTGTTCATTGTGTTATATTTACACTGTCATATTTTTATTTTATTTAAATTTGTTTTCGCTCATCTGTGTATGGTATGTTATTATATTTGCTGAAAGAACATTGGATTAATTATTAACCCCTTAAGGACCAAACTTCTGGAATAAAAGGGAATCATGTCACACATGTCATGTGTCCTTAAGGGGTTAAAGGGACACTATAGTCACCCAGACAACTTCAGCTCAATGAAGTGGTCTGGGTGCCAGGTCCCTCAGGTTTTAACCCTTCACATGTAAACATAGCAGTTTTATAGAAACTGCTATGTTTACATTGCAGGGTTAATCCAACCTCTAGTGGCTTCCATATTATGCGTCCATAGGAAAGCATTGAGAAATGCTTTCCTATGGACTGTTAGAATGCGCGTGCGGCTCTTGCTGTGCATGCACATTCCGTTCCACTCGGAAGCTGACGTCGGCAGGGGAGGAGAGGTCACTGGCACTGGATTAAGGTAAGATGCTGAATGGGGTTTTAACCCCTTCAGCGCCACGGGTGGGGGACTCTGAGGGTAAGGGTCCGCCAAACATGACATAATGTTTGTTTTCCTCATTCCTACTATTCCTCCTTATACAGCATAAGGGACAGTCCACCAAACGCAGATAAGATCCGGGAATTCCTTCAAAACCGAATTACAGCCACCATTCCGCGCAATATGGCAGAATTTTTAGATAGCCCACTAACCACAGAAATTTCTCGCAGTAGTTAAACAACTACCACTAGGGAAGAGCCCGGGACCAGACGGTTATACGGGCAAGTACTATAAACTTATAGCCCAGATCCTTGCAGAACCATTTGTACAAACATTCAACTACACCCGTGATCCGAGCAGGGCACCGCGGGAGACGCTGAACGCTACCATAACACTAATACCCAAGCCAGGCAAGGACACAACCAATTGTGGGAGTTACAGGCCCATATCCCTAATGAATGTGGATCTAAAACTATCCACAAAAATCCTAGCTAACCGTTTAAAACCACTACTCCCCGACCTTATACATCAGGACCAGGCAGGATTTGTGCCAGGCAGGGAGGCGAAACAGAATACCATGAAACTCATCAATATCATGCACTGGGCAAAAACAAATAAAATCAGGAGTGTTCTACTGGCCATCGATGCTGAAAAAGCATTCGACAGGGTCGACTGGTCCCTCATGACAACCACGATGGAACATCTCGGATTCGGCACCAAGTGGTTAGAATGGCTGGGGAGACTTTACTCCTCACCCACCGCCCGAATACGAATAAATGGCCAACTCTCAGAAACAGTGCACATAAGGAATGGGACTAGACAGGGATGTCCACTCTCCCCGCTAATATTTATTCTAGTTCTAGAACCATTTATACAGGGGATCCGAAACAACCCACAGATCCATGGTATCAAAATAGGAGATATAGAGTATAAAGTCTCTGCTTTCGCAGATGATTTGCTTTTTACAATCTCAGACCCGATTCACTCTCTCCCACGCATACTGACAGAAATGAAGGCATACAGCGATATCTCAAACTTCCAAGCAAACCTGGCAAAATGCGAGATTCTCCCCCTACACACATCACCAAATATAGACAGGCAAATACAGGACACTTTCCATTTTACTTGGGCAACGATATCAATAAAATACCTGGGGATTCATCTCCCACACCAAATGAGACACCTATACGACTTAAACTTCATTCCACTTTTGGAAACCGTATCGAAAGATTTGAAGGCTTGGCATAAGCCTTGTTATGGATGGTTTTGCAGAATAAATATCATAAAAATGGTGGTACTCCCACGCATCTTATATACCCTACAAACACTCCCAATTAAATTACCAACCAGTTTCTTTGCGACACTTAAGAAGGCACTGACCTCTTTTATCTGGTCACAATCCAAACCTAGACTACCTCTAAAACTTTTGACACAGCCAAGAGAGAGGGGGGGCATGGGTGTCCCGGACATTGAGACATATCATAAAGCAGTACATATGTCCCGGGTCTATGAGTGGACAAGAGAGTCCCCACTCCAGCAATGGGCACTCATAGAAAAGGAGCAATGTTTCATACCTCTAAACGCACTCCCTTGGCACACACCTAATACGACATTTACCCGAAATGACCAACACCCACTTATCTCGACCACTCTGCAGACATGGTCGAGAATAGCTAATAACATGAACATACCCATCACCGTTGTACCAGATCTCACGAAACCCCTTGCTAATTTCCGGGATCACATATCGAACCTACGAGATACACAGGGGGACAGCAACCATTACACTGCAAGACATAACAAGGGATAAGACATTAATAGCTCTACATGACCTCACCCTCAGTAAAACACCTACGAGTTCGCAACAACTACACTACCTGCAACTTAAACATTTCCTGACCACCCAGAAACTGATGCCAGAGGGACATAGGGACCTGACAACCTTTGAACGCCTATGTAAAACCCACTCTTTAAAACAAAAATTGCTGTCCACAATGTATAAGCTACTGCTAACCTCAAACACTGATACCCCGAGGTTCACCACCAGGTGGACTGAGGAACTAAACATAGATATCTCGGGAGAGCAATGGAAGCAAATTTTTATCAGAACTCATACAATGTCCATTGCAACCGCCAATCAAGAGAGCAATTATAAACGCTTAACCCGCTGGCACTACACACCCTCTAAACTACACAAAATGTTCCCAGGATCACACAACATCTGCTGGAGACACACATCTGGTGGCAATGCCCGGAAATTCAGAAATTCTGAATGCGTATACACAAAATCACGCAAATCATCATGCACAAACAAATACCCTTTACACCGGAACATATTCTGTTCATGTTACCACCCCAGGGCTTCACAAAATCTGAAACCTATCTGACAGCCCAACTGCTCATGGCAGCGAACCACCTAATTCCGGTTTACTGGAAACAGTAAAAAACTTCCACTGTTAGGGAATGGACCAGCAGGGTAGAAAACATCCAACAGATGGAGGCTATAACTTATGCACTATCCAAAAACTACACAACATTCACCCAAATGTGGGAACATGGTGTGTTCAATAAAAACATGGCAACATTTCATTTTTTGTGTGTTATTAGTTTAAGCAGACTGTGATTGTCTATTGTTGTGACTTAGATGATGATCAGATCACATTTTATGACCAATTTGTGCAGAAATCCATATCATTCCAAATGGTTCACATACTTTTTCTTGTAACTGTATATATAGTTTACAGTAATTGTCAGGTCTTAACCTAAAAATAACAGTGATTCTGAACAGTAGCTAGGTCAGTGCAGAATCATTGGTCAAAGAGCATCAATATTTGACGCCTGCTTATGAGGCACCGTTTTCGTTCAGTGTCATATGTGTTGACTTTTAACTTCACATCCACCCATGATCCTCCCGCCTATCTCAATAGAACCAAAGGAGATAGAGAGAAAGAAGCAAGAAGAATAAAGAGAGAGAGCAAAATAGGGCGGGGGAGTAAAATAAATAGGGGGTAATAATGTTGTGTTGCCTTCCATAGCTCTATGCCCTGCAGTCTCTGCACCCATTGTCCCTGCCAAGGGGTTCACCCCAGGTTTCTCAATCTGGTGCAAAGACCACCGTAATATCTACCATTCCACAAGGATTCCCATTGTACAGCGCTACGGAATTTGATGGCGCTATATAAATAATAAAATAATAACTGTGTAATGCCCTCATGTTCGCGAAGGTATTTATGGTAGAGACTCCCATTTAAAGGCATGCAAAGTAGATCCGAGAGATTCGCTCTGCTTCATAAGAACAACAATCCCATTACAGCACCTCTTAACCCCTTAAGAACTGAGCCAAATGTGCATGTTGTGATTAAAATAAAATGTAAACAAAAACTTGAGTTTGCGCTATATGTCTGTTCAGGCGTAATTCATCTCTTTCATATTATGTGCACCCACACTTATTATATATACTTTTATTCAGGGGAAACAGGGCTTTCATTTAACATTAAATATTTAGGTATGAAACATAACTTAATATGAATAAAATATTAAACAATGGAAGAAAATAAGATTTAAAAAAAAAAAAATTAGTTCTACATGACATTCTAACTGTGAATGTCATAATCCTGTTTGCTTTTACTGTAAAAAAATACACATATTTGTATTCAGCGATGTCTCAAGTGTAAAACAGTACCCCCTATGTACAGGTTTTATGGTGTTTTGGGAAGTTATAGGGTCAAATACAGCGTATTAGCGATGTCTCGGTTGTCACAGTATGTAACTATGTACAGGTTTTATGGTGTTTTGGGAAGTTATAGGGTCAAATACAGCATGTTACATTTTCATACGGTTTCAAAGGCAATGTAACCAATCTGGCGAATTTCCATGTGAAAAAACTGAAACTCAAGCCTTATATTTGACTCTGTAACTTTTGAAAACACCATAAAACCTGTACATGAGGGGTACTGTTATACTCAGGAGACTTCGCTGAACACAAATATTAGTGTTTCAAAACAGTAAAACGTATCACAACAAATATATCGTCCGTGTAAATGCCATTTGTATATGAAAAATGCAAAAAATGTCACTTTCACTGACAATATCGTAGTTGTAATACATTTTACTGTTTTGAAACACTAATATTTGTGTTCAGCGAAGTCTTCCGAGTAAAACAGTACCCCCCATGTACAGGTTTTATGGTGTCTTGGGAAATTATAGGGTTAAATATAGTGCTAGCAAATTAAAGTCCCTAGACTTTTGGCCTGGGTTGTCAGGCAGGTCCCACAAATTGTAATTAATAAAATGAC